AATCCTAGATACTCAGCAGGCAGAGATCAGGAGGACTGTGATTCGAAGTCAGCCCGGGCAAATAGTTTTTGAGACCCTATCTTGAAAAAACCTTCACAAAAAAGGGCTGGTGGAGTGGCTCAAGGTGCAGGCCCTGAGTCCAATCCCCAGTACTGCAAAAAATTAACAATAATACATTACTAAATAACTTGTAACTCAAAGAAAAATCACAATAGCTTATGAGAAAATTCATAGCTGAACAATAACAGATTGACATTTCTAATACCACCACTTCAAACTTGGGAGCTCCTGTGAAGGCAGTGCCTGGGGGTAATTTATGGCCTAAAAAAGGAAGAAGAATGAAAATTAATAGGCTAAGTATCTGATTAAGAAGTCATGGGTACAAACAACCAAATAGATGCAAAGAAAATAGAGGAAGGGACTATACTAACCATAAAAGCTGGTGACCAATGGTGTAGAAAACAATGGTGCATGGAGAGGGACAGTCAAGTCCAAGTCTGACCTGAGCAAAAGCTGACCAAATAGAAAGAACGAGACTGAGCAAGAAAAGTGAAAGTGGATAGAAACACTATTCAGGACTTCAAAAAGGGACAATTAGAGATCCAACAGAGATTTTAAAACTAAATAGAAATATTATGGAAAAGCCAGGTATAGTGATACATGCCTGTAATCCCAGCACTGAAGCGGAAGCAGGAGGATTGAAAGTTGAAGACCAGCTTGAGATACAGTGAAAAAACAAAAAACAAAATAGCAAGAACAACATGTATATGTGTGTGCATACTTAAAATTCACATACAGTAAAATTCCCTATTTCACTGTTTGCTGTTTTTACATTTTAAGTGGATCTTAAAAGCAAAATAATGCTTACAAGGGATGGGAAGAGGGCTGGAAGAAGAAGGGTGGCAGGACATGACCAATGCACACTTTCCATGTGTGGAAACATCACACTAAAGGGCCATCGGAGTGACTCTCTCCCTCGGGAGGTTCCATGGCAGCGGATTATTAGGCAGCAAGGTCAATTTACATGCTTGGTCTCTTTGCATGCAGCATGTCCTTTCTAGCTTCTCCACCATGTTGTGACACAGCACAGGGGCCCTCGCTGGAATACTAGCACTATCCTCTTGGACCTCCATAACTGTGACCTAAATAAACTTCTTTTCTTTATAAAGCCCTCAGTCTCAAGTACTCCCTATAAAGTACCTCGCCTCAGCTATTTTCTCATAGTAACACAAAACAGACTAATACAAAATACACATGGCTTCCTGCCATGCTCCAATAAGGAACTGCCAAGCATGTGAGTGAGATTTGGAAGCAGATCACCCAACCCCAGCTAGGATTACTGGAACCCCAGCCAACATTCTGATGACAGCCTCATGAGAGAGACCCTGACCACCCAACTAAGCTATTCCCAAATTACTGACCCTCAGACAATGTGTAATGAGTTATATTGCTCAAGCAACTAAGTAAGATTCGGGGTATTGGTCATGAAGCAAATAATATTTAACACACACACACACACACACACACTCACATAAAACCAGGCCAAGGCTTTCTAAGGGAGTTGTATAACACATTTATAGCAAAAATAATCCCCCCTTTTTAAATTTTACAAACTATTCTAGAAACCCACTTCATGAGGTTGTATAATCCTCCAAAACCAGTAAAGGATTTTTTTTAAATGCAAGCAAACTTGCTAATGAACAGATATTGAAAGTTTTAAACAAAACATTGGGAAACTGCATTCTGCAATGCATCTTTGAAGTACATGGCCAGGCTTGGTTTACCTCAGGAATGCAAGCTCCTATTTTCTTTTCAACATCTATAAATTTATTTACCATTTTCACACATAAAAGGAAAAAATGTAAGCATGTTGATAAGGCAAAAATTGATAAAATTCAATAGCTACTCATGATTTCAAAAAATACTTGGCAAACAAGGGCCCAGAAATGCATCAGTGCTGAAGCAGTCGGTTACAATCAGGAGGCTGAGGATGACATTTCTAGTCAATGCAGGTAAGATTCCTTAAAATATAAAAATAATGAGTAAGAGTGTAACAAGAAGAGGCAAATTGTTAGAATTATTGCCGAATTTAAGATACTTATATAGAATAAATCATATTCCTAAAGGTTGGGGGTGGAGTTTAGTGGGAGAGTGCTTGCCTAACAGTTTAAGGCCCAGAGTTTGTTCTCCACCACTTCAAAAAAAAAAAAAAAAAGATAATTACAAAGCATGTAACTTACAGATTAATGTCTATGATATGTAAAGAATTCCTACAAATCAATGAGAAAAAGACAAAATGGCACACTGCAAATTGATAAATACATATACACAAATAATTCCCCAAAAAAGAACTGTGACTGTTCAATAAACATTTTAAAATAACTTCACTACTTATCAGGGAAATATAAAGCAATGAGGCACCACTTCATACCAATCAGATTAACAAAACTTTAAAAATCAGACATTAACAAGAGTTGGGGAGGATATTGAGTGATGAGGAACAAAAGTACTGGAAATAAGTGTCCACCAACAAAGCACCAGGTGGATCATGGTGTAGTCATTCAGTAGAATATTATATAGATATTAAAATGAGCCAACTAGAGCCAAATACGTGGTATGGATAAATCTCAAAAGTATTGTAGCTCAGGAAAAAAAAAGTTGAAGACTACCATCTACAGATTAGCATCATTTATATAAAATTTTAAAACATGCAAAGTGTAACTTCAGCTTGTCAAGGTTGTAGACATCTGCAGTGAAATAATAAAAACACCCAGCAGATTTATTTAGCAGGTTCTCTCTAAAGAGAGAAGGAAAGGAATGAAGTCAGGGAAGAGATACACATATATAGAGAGAAGTCTTCAACATTATCTGTTGTATTTTATTCTGCCAAAAAAATCTGAAGCAAGCATAGGAAAGTATAAAGATTTTATAAAGCTAGCAGAGGTACCCAAAGTTGTCTTCCATACTTTTCTGAATGTTTGAAGGAAATGGCCAGGATTTGGGGAGCAATGTTATAGGTAGTGGGGACCCCAGAAAGTAACCCTGTGGAAATGTGCAGTTTTACCCACAGCTCTGGCCCTCCCCTTGCAGCATGCCTGGGATAAAGAGGGCACAATATTTGCCGAACGAGTGAACCCAGGAAAAGGCACGGAGAAATGTTAGCGCTCCAGACACCAGCCACCCACTGCCTGACAGGGAACATCCCATTTGGTCCTTGCCACAGTGGTGGGGACCATTATTATCGTCACTCTGCAAGGAAACAGGCTTAGCTAAGAAGCTTGTCTGAGAATTGAGTCTGTATTCCATCAAAAACATTTGGAGTTTAAGCTGTTGGTAGTTTCAAAATTTGGAAATATGACAAAGTATGGCCAAAGAGTTATAGTGCAGGAGGCGCACTGAACACATACCCTGGAGTGAAGGGTAACCAGGACCAAAGAGGGGCATGTGCTCAGTGCTCACAGAACGCATGTGAACCAACTGGGCACAGGGAAGACTCTAGCAAGGAGGAGACATTTGACCTTAAACAAATATATCTACAAATGCCAGTATCCAGTTCTTCCTGCTCCCCATCCAGTTGGTGGTGCTGGGAGGATCCATTGCTGTGCACGCTGCACACAGAGCCTGACCACAAAGGCTGAGTTTCCCACGTATGAAGATGGACAGTTTTGAATGAAACCTCCAGTTTGAGAAAGTTTGCTCTACTTTTATACATATAGGGAAAAATAAAAAACCTTCAAAGCTCTCCTTAGAAGTCATGATGCCAGTGATAATTGCTCATCCTTTTCTAATAATAGCTTTCATCCATTGAGCCTTTACTGCACACAGGGCACTGGGTTAAGTCTGCTTTATTGCCTTTCTCACAGCAACCCTATGAGGCAGGGACAAGGAAACCAGACTGAGAATAGGTGCAGGTGTCCTGCCTACCATTGTCCGCAGTTACTCAGTGGTGGAGCTAGGATGGAACCCATAGTCGTCACCTTCCCAGCCCATATTTTAACCATTGCCTCTCACAGCACAGACAACTAATTAAAGCAACAATGGTTTAACTGCTTTCAATTGGAAGAATAAATGAGACTGTGATACAAGCATAATAAACTGGACCCAAGCTTATCATTACATTCATGAACACCTGTCACATGTTGGCGGCTCCATAAATGCTTGTGAAGTGAGGTGGTGTTTCATTCTAGGAAAAGAAAACCAAATGACATGTTTCAGCAAGTGGAAACTCACAGTAGGTGACTGGGCCATGCTGAGCAGTTTCCCAAGCCTTCCAAGGCACACCCCCACTCTCCAAATTAGCTCAGGGACCCTCCTCAGCCCACTCTTTGGCCTCCTGGGGAGTTCTTATTTCTCCCTCAAACCTATTTTACCCAATTCCCCAGAGCTTCTCCAAAGTGCTGGGCAGTCAGCCAGCCCTGACGAATTGGAATGGCTGCTGTCACTGGGGCTGAGCCCCTGGGGGAGGCTCTGGGTTTTCTTCTCTCAAAGCCTGTCACACAGGAGGCTTGTCCTGAAACTACAGGCTGAATGAATGGAGTCCCGGACTCTGCTAATAGCGCACGGCCCAAACACGTACATAAAGTGAGAAGTTCTTTTGAAGTAAGAAAAGATAAGAACAGGTCACGATTCTCCCAGCAAAAGCCATCACTGGATTCACACGTTCACTTCACAAGTATTCTCGGGACACTTGAATGTGGAGGACAGGGCTCTCACGGGAGGTGTGCCCTAACCCCTCTCCACCTGACACCAAACCCGGTACAGCGGGACCGAGGGAGCCCCCAGGAATGCACAGCAGAGGGTGAGAGAGAGGCAGGTAAGCAGTCCTAATTTACAAATGTAAGGAGAGTCGAGGGAAACTGGAGGGACTGGGGGAGGGGAAGGAGGGAGAGGAACCGAGGGGGGAGAAGAGGAGGAGGACAGCAGCAGTCTGTCTGGATTCTCCCTGGAGCCACATCTGACAAGACTCTGGTCACGTTTTAATTAATTACAAGGTTTTCCTATTGACTCAAACAAGAGCCCTCTCTCTAATTAATTTTCGAACGAGCTGGCCAATTTTAATCATAGCAAACATAATGATCCCGGATAGGACGGCCTGAGCTGCTAAAAGCAGAAAATAAAGACCCCAGAAGAGACTGTGATCTGGACGTTCTCCCGTGGCCACCTGCTGGGCCCACGCCCAGGGTTCTGAGCCGGTGGGCAGCAGGGAAGGGAGCGGGGCTCCCAGTGCGCTGTCCACAGGAGGGCGGGGAGGAGCGCCCCGAGGGCTCGGGCACCACGGGTCACCCTCCAGCAGGGCCCAGAGCGACAGGCCGGCGCGCTGTTCCGGGCCATGGCACCGCGGGGACTCATCTCGGCCCACGAGGTCCAGGTGCTGCCGCAGCCACTCGACGAACGGCCACAAGCCACAATCACAGAGCCAGGGATTGTGGCCCAGCAGGACCTCCGCCAGCTGGGGCAGAGACCCAAACACGTCGCCAGGCAAGGTCTCCAGCTGGTTGTGGTCCAGCTGGACCGTCTCCAGGCTGCTGAGGTTGCGGAAGAGCGCACGGGGCAGAGCCCGTAGCCGGTTGTGGCGCAGCGACACCTGGCGCAGGTGGCCGAGGCCGCGCAGCAGGGCGTCGGGGAGCGCCACCAGGCCGTTGGAGTGCAGCGCGAGCACGCGCAGCTCCGCCAGGCCCTGGAACGCGCCCTCCGGGAGCGCGCTCAGGCGCGGGCTCAGCGTCACCCCCAGGACACGCAGATGGCTCAGGTTCCGGAAGGCGGCGGCCGGCAGCGTGCGCAGCTGGGTGCGGTTCAGCCAGAGTTCCCCAGGCCCGCCATCTCCCCGAAGAGCACCTCGGGCAGCTCTTGTAGCGGGTTCTCGAACAAGGTCAGCAGAATCAAACGGCGCGAATGGAGAAAGAGCGCGGGGGGCAGAAACTCCAGGTGGTTCCTGGAAAGAGTCAAGGAGCTCAGGTTTCCCAGGCGATCGAAGGCACCGGGGACGATGGCACGGAGGTGATTGCTGCTCAGATGCAGCTCCATCAGGGCGCCCAGGTTGTCCAGCAGCCCCGAATCCAGAGACACGAGCTGGTTGGAGTGGAGCAGGAGTTTCTCAAGCTTGGCCTGTGCCCCAAGCAATCCCTCGGGCAGGTGGGTCAAGTTGTTTCCCGATAAATCCAACAACTTCAGGTTCCCCAGTTTCGTGAACAGGGTAGCAGGAAGGAAAGAGAGTTGATTGCGGTTCAGAACGAGCTCCCGAAGGTTAACCAGTTTCTGAAACGTATTCTGATCAATGGCCCTTAGTGCATTGTGGTCCAAGAACAACTGTTCGAGGAGCGCCATCTTATCCAGAAGCGCGCCTGGAAGATGAGTGATTTTGTTGTGCGACAGTCTAAGGGTTTTTAGTTTTACCAGGTCATCGAAGGTGCCGGGGGCGATGGCGATGATATGGCTGTCCGAGAGCATCAGGCGCTGCAAGACCGTCATGCCGCTGAAGCTGTGGTTCTGCAGGACGCCCTGGCCCATTCGGAAGAGCAGAATGTGCGTGAGGTTGGTGGGCAGGCCCAGCGCGGCGATGCGTGCCACGTTGCCGCCTGAGCACTGCACCGCATCACCGACCACGCACCTGCAGCCCTGGGGACAGGGGAAGGGCTTGGCGCGCAGGAGCCCGAGCACCGCGCACAGCAGCGCGCACCTCCTCAGCATGCCTGAAAAGGCGACACAAGAGTGTTTACACAGCGGATCTTGTCATCTTGTTACCCCTTTCCCCAGGATCCTCACTGCCTTTGCAGGTTGTCCACGTACAACCAACCTCTTTTCTTAGGAGGGCTAATTTCACCAGATGGTGAAAAGATGCTCCTTCACCAATATTTTTTCTACTCAGTTTAAGGAATTGAAATTAAAGTGTTTCAAACTATACAACAGTTACCAACTTGAAATCTGCACATAGAACTACTAAATCATTTTCACATCCAACTTCGCAAACATCGCAAAGTAGTGCCCTCTGAAAATTTTAGCTGTGCGTTGACTCCCGGCATTGGCTATAACGAACAGTCAGGAAGGAAAGAGCGATGTGTGTACTCACCCCTGATTCTTTTTCTCACAGTCATGCTGTTTACAAATATCAATTTACTCTACTAAACCGTGAAAACCCCAGAACAGCAAATACTTATCTGCTAAGAAGAGCAGGTAACAATGCCCATTACTAAGTTACACCAGGGGTGGTTCTTTGCACTTTATATTATGTTCATTTAATCCTTACAATAACTACGAAGTGGCAACTATTATCCTCAACTCAAGGGTAAGAACATGAAGAAAAGAGAAGTTAAGTAACTTGAGCTGGGTATGGTAGTGACTTCTGTAATCCCAGCACTTGGGAGGCTGAGGCAGAGGATCCTGAGGTCCATATTCAGGCTGGGCTACAAAGTGAGACCTTGTCTCAAACAAAACAACCCAAAAAGGTTAAGCAACTTAACTACAGTCACAAAATTGGATTTGCAGGTCATATTTCTGACAGCATAAATAAGGAGCTTCTGCTTCTAAGATGCTTAATAAATATTAATACTTGTGACACTGAATTATCTGTGAAATACAGTGTATTACTAGTCTGCCAAAGCAATGTTTCCCAAGTGAAATTTTATACATTGTTTCTAGTGCCAAATTTTATGCACACACACAAAGACTGAGCCCACTAATTACCTAGTCTCATTTTTAAAATTTAAATTTGACCTTACCTGAAGTGGTTCTGCACCCCAAAGCAACTGAAAGGCTTAGCATTGTGCCTGTGACTCTGCACTTTCCAAAGGAAGAGGGAATATCTTTGCATCCTGAGGATAAAGACTACCAGAACACAGCCAGGGAACGGACGCTATCTCTGAGGGCATATTCTGGTTTTAATGACAAATTTCTCCAAACTGAAAGAGACCATATGTAACTTGAGTCTTGCTGCCATCAAAGCTAAATGATAGCAGGAGGGGGGGAAGTTTTTCCATAAATGGCACAAAAAGTTTATTGACAGATCGCTGTAGCAGCCATACCCCTAGATGAGCCACGCTTGTGTCTTCTTTTGCATGCTATGTTGTGCCAACTCTCCTCTATTTCCCCCCTTTCTTTTATGAACAAGGCTAAGAACATTCTCAGATGATCCACTCTACCCCTGCCCCACCAAGGAACAATAAAGCAAAAAATACTGGAACACGCTCCACGGGCATTGCCGGCTTGAAGGGTTTTCATGTGTTTGGTTCACCAACCTGCTTTCCAGAATGCGTACTGATACTAATGGCACTGACCATGTGCCACTTCTCTGCCCACACCTAGCCTTGATACTGTAGAATTTTTGTCATCCATATAATTATCTCAAAAAGGTTTTTACATTTGCTTAATGGTGAACTTGAACCTCCCCATATAATTAAGAGCTCCATCTTAATTATATTATCTTGTGCTCCATCTAAGAAATTTGGGTTCCCTTTTGCCCATTTTTTTGAGACAAGGTCACATTATGTAGCCCAGGCTGGCCTTGAACTCATGATCCTCTAGCCTCAGCTTCCTGAGTGCTGGGATTACAAGCTGAGTGAGCCATCATGCCTTGCTTTTCCCATTTTTCCTATATTCAACTATACTGTAGGCATTCCTTATATATTATTCTATTGATTCCTTGTCAGTTACAGGTGTTCACCAACCTCTACACCTTGTCTTTTCATATTTATGGTGTCTTTAGATGAACAGAAAGTCTTAATACAGGTAACATCTTTTGTTATTTGTACTTTATTAAATTCTCTCAGGTCAGAAAATATTCCCCTATATTCTCTTAAAATTTTATTTTGTACTTAGCATTCAGATCTCGAATTCACATAGGACTTATTTTTGTGATGACGTAGGAGTTCAATTTTATTTTTCTCCATTAGGATAGCAGCACTATGAAAAATCAGCACCTTATGAATGCACAGGCCTGTTTCTGGATTTTTTTTTTTTAATCCCTGAAACACTGCACTGAGATAACCTAATGTTTAAAAGCCTAAAAATATCCAGTGGTTTATGAAGTATAAAATAGACATTCTTATAAGGCAATGACTGATGGAAATATTAACTAGTTCTGACTTCTAAAAAACAATTTAGTGCATCCACCAAATTTAAAATACACTAAAAATACACCCTGTAAGTTTCCCTGGTGGCCTGAGGGTCAGCCACCATCATCCATGACACAGTTAACTCTGTACACCAGGAAGCTCATTCATTTCATTTGCTTCAGAGGAAACAAATGGTCAACGATGCCCTTCACCCAGGGAAGGCAACAGAACCTAAGACAGAAATTAGTGATAAATGAGCTAAAATCATGGCCTGTAGGAAATAGTGAAAGCAACCCAAAAACAGAATGAAGAAAGGCCAGGGTACAGCAAAGACTAAAAAGTCTAAGGAATATTCTACAATGACTTTATCTGAGGCCATTGTGTGGATTTTTCACAAAGATCAATAAACTGTAAAAATTTCAAAAGAAGAGATATGCACACAAAAACATTTATTGCGAGATATAGAAAAAAGTGAAAACCTGTCAACAAGGAACTGGTTGCTTACATGATGATTCCTGCATGCAACAGGAGGCTCTGCACACTTTAAGTGGTGACTAACTTTCTGAGATACACTGAATGACATAAAACAAAGCAGTGTAGCACATAAGATGGGATCCTACTTATGGTGAATTCTAAAGAAAAATGATACATGCTTTTTTCTGGAATTAGACAAGAAAGAAACTTCAATGTTCACCTTTTGAGGGAGAAATCAGGAAATAGCTGTACTTCTTTATATATACTAAGAGGCTGAATTTTTTTAAATGTGCTTGCTTACATCACTAATTTAAAATTTTTTTGGTGATACTGGGGTTTGAACTTGGCCTTAGAGCTTGCTAGGCAAGTGCTCTACCACTTGAGCCACACCCCAACCCACTAACTTAAATTTTTAAAGCACACAAAAAAGTGAGGGCTGGCAGAGTGGCTCAAGTGGTAGTATCTGACAAGTGTGAGACCCTGAGTTCAGTTCCCAGCATTGCCAAAAACTAAAGTGAAAGCTCATACTTGGATTGCTAAAGAATAAATATTCACCTCTGGAATTATAAGATGGAGTGGTAGAGAAGTGTGTACTAAATTATTTTACCCAGGTTGGGAAGGAAGCCCCTTACATTCATAGGTGTTACAAGAAAAAGCACCATCAATCTTTGATGTAGCCAAGGGCAGGAAACTCAACAAGTGCTGACCTGACTGAAATCATCTGCTAGTCAGTCCTAAACCACAGGAGGAGCCAGTGCCTCTACAGGTATCATAGGCTCTTTTAGTTCTCACCAAGAGAACAATTGCAGAGCCCAGGACTGCTATCCTACTTCTACACTGCAGAAACCAGTGAGTGACTGAAAATACCTAGGCTCAAACAAAGCCTTCACCCACCTTATCCATCATTCCACAGCCTACCACATCCCTAGAGGCTGCATGTCTCCTGGACAATGTGGGATTCCTGGAAACACAGCCCACCCAGGACAAAGGTCAACTCAAACCTGCCATCTCTGGGATTTCTATAGCCATTAGTTAGCTAGTTTCTCTCATCTTTCCTGGTGTGTTCTGTGGTATTAACTTTGGGGTTGATCCTCCCTACTATTGATAGACTGTAAGTCCCTGGTCTATTTCAGTATTTCCCTCCAACTTCCTGACACTTCGTATATGGCTCTATTGCATCTGACTGCATTGCTTCCCTAGGGTGGTCAGGGGCCTGATGTGACCTAGGAATGCTGTACTGACTGCCTTCAAAAATCTGAGGTGTAAAAAACAGTAGCAAAAATAAATAAGGAAATGCGGCACTATTAAACAGGAAAATAAGTCCAGAGAGGGTTGTATTCACATAACTAAAAAGCCAACTAATGTATAAAGACAGGAAAAATCATGGAAATATCACTTCATTTAAATTTTATTTCGGATAGCTTCAATCAAAAAAAATTTCATAAGGGTATTTACAACGCTGAATGTACAATTATGAATGTATGCCTTTTGACAACAGGGTACCATTCTTGAGCAGCAATACAATTTTAAAAATATAAAGATGCAGTATCATTTCTGATATAAAGTTACTTAAAAAAATCCAAGGTCTTAGGGAATTCACAAATCATAACAGGAAATAACTATTTTATTAATTTCATGTGCACATAATTACCAAATTTTAATACATTAAAAATGTGTAAATACCCAGACTGTACAAAAATTAATACTCCATTTTGTAAAAGTTCCTAACCACCTCCCACCATAAATATATAAAACCCTATTTTCAGATAAATCAAAATTGCATGCATGAAGTATTAGAATGGTTTCTAAAGCTTGAATTTTTCTCTTCACTGGATATTGTTATCTATAGCTGTTTTGGGAACAGACTACATAAACATTGATACATTATTTACCATGCCTCTGAAACTGTGCAGTACTTTCATCAACATGGGAAACAAAATAAGAGTAAAAACGGTAATAATTTTGTTTAAATTCAAGTGCAATTTGGGGAAGCTTTCCAATTTAAGGATTATAAAACTACTATAAAAACTATTTTGCTGTTGGCTTAGCCACTTTTATTCAAGCATTATTTGCAGCATTGCTTTATAGCAGTTGGTGCTAGAAGATAGAAAACATAGTCACCACTATTTATATTTGAGGGAGGAAAAAAAAAAAAACCAGAAACACTTTAAACAACCCTGAGGGAGACACACATTAAAAATCTTGTTATTTATTTAAAAAGTTAAAAAGTTACCTATCATTATTTAACAATTACTTCCCAAGACATTTCTGTCCTTTAAGAATGTGCATAAATAAAATTTAAATCAGCAATATTTATCAATCTTAATACATCAAAATAATATATGTACAGATTTTAAAAGTTAGGTCTGTATACACTCAAATAATTTAATGAAAAACGCAGAACCAAAATTACTATGTACTGGTGACCTATGAGAGGACTCAGTCTACCTGTGGCACTGAGGAGGGCCCACACCTGGATTCACAGACATTCTTCAAATGATATTCTCAACTAGAATAACCTGCCCTGTCTATGTTCAACCCTAACTTCCTCCAAATGCTTTTCCACACTTCTGTCCCTTTGAAAACAATATGGACAGATGAGATATAAACCTTTATTAACTCTAAATGTTAAGGAGTAAGGATGTGTGTGTGTGTGTGTGTGTGAAAAATAGCCTTTTATGATCATGCTTTTTAAGATGTTAAATACAACTGATAACTGGAGTTTTTAAGCTGTACTTAGCAGTTATTTTAATTATATGCTTCAGTATTTAAACCAAAGAATAAAATTCACAACTTTGGAAATCACTAAAGAATGACACTTGGGCATTCTATAAGTGAGTATGGACATTGTAAAACATTCAGGAGAATAGTTACAGGAACAGCACTAATTCACAGCTCAAGAGGTCTCAGATGCATAGCTCCATAGAATCATTCATGGATTAACTGTTTTTATCATCTAATGTGTATTATTATACATTTTGATGGAAAAGTTCAATTACACTTTTGTAAGACTCGTCATCAGTGGCAATAGCAGTAACAGTGATCCTGAGTATAATTTACATGTTTCTACAGTTATTAAACATCATTCAGGTCTTTGCAGCATAAAGAATAAGAAACATTTGGCTGTACAATTCTGGGTAACATTTGATAAACTGGTAACTATGTATTGGGAAAATGATCAGCTAGAAGTGGAAAGCGTGGCATGTGATTAGTTAAGGAGGAATACAGAATAGAGTCACATTGCTGTAACAGTGTCTATTTTACACAGCAACACCAATTCCCTTTGTCTGTCATAATTGTAGGCTTGCCATACTGCTGGATCCTACCTATAAAGGCATTTTCAAAAGTTACTTTAAATTCCTTTAGAATTTAAACATTCGTTGGGCAAAAAAGAAAGGTGAAAAACAGTGCCTATATTTCTTTTGGCTTAATGAATGCTTATTCTTTAACTTTATTCCCTCAATTTTTTTCTCCTAGAAATTGCCACACCAAATAAGCTCATTTGTAACAACAAAAAAAGTATGCTTTGACCTCTGGCACCACCTACTGGCATGCAACAAGCTCTTACCAAGTTCAATTTGTTTTGAAAAAGTAACAGTCATTCAAATCCACAATACTCATTTTTAAAAGCCTCATTATTGATAGAAAAGACATACACCAAACCTTAAAAGAAAAATCTTTCAGGGAAAGTTCTAACTCAAAAAACAAAGCTCTCTATTAGCCAATGTCTTTAGATAATTAAAAATGGAAAAAATAAAAAGACATTTAAAACAATTCAAATTCCGAAGGGGGAGGATATGAAGAGATATTAGGAGGATAGATCTACATCTACTGCTAAGAGAATTAATCTTTTTTCAGTGAAAAAGGCCCACAACGTTTAAGTGAAGTAAATTTGATGACTGGCACCAGACAGAGCACAAGATCCACTCAACAGTTTTGAAGGACATCTCCTGAAGGCAGTGAAGCACCTTGCTGATTAGAGAAATAAAACCCAGGCAGTATGCACAGAAAATATAAAGCCATAAATGGAAACACCTGAGTTATTCTATAAGCAACACCATACAAACTCACTCCTAACTCTAGCTATCAAAGAGAAGTGGTGTATGTTTACAGAGAATTCTTTGGAAAAAATAGTGGATTCAAATGAAAACAGCTTTTCAACTTGTTTTCACTGCAGGCTAATTAACAGCCATTTTATTTTTAACAATCACAAATTTAGGACCTGTATACACAACAGACCTTTTTCTGATAAGGAGGTTGTGAAAATAAATTTAAAGAGGCAAACTAGTCTCAAAAGTTAATGCCTTAAAAACCTACCACATACCCAATTTCCCTTGTACACAACATAAAGAATATCACTTAGGTAGCCTTCAAAATCCTGGAAATGCATATAATATTTAGGTTACTGAATAAAGATATAGACAGATTAGTAGTTAATTTAACTGTGTCACCAATACCTTTTTTTGTTTTTTTTTTTTTAAAGTAATGTTTTCATCAAATCAGCTATTGTAGTATCAGATGAGGCATACAATGAAATAGTGCCATTCTGACAGAGGATCAGGAAATCCTGAAATCACATTCTCCTGAACACTGCTATTAGTACACCACTGAGACTGGGTCACTGCTATGTGATGGTGATGATCTGACATGAGCCGTTCTCCTTCACGAATGCCTTAGCTTCGGTCGTGGTCTGAGGTTTAGGCGGCCACTCTGGATCATCCAGGAGCTCCTGCGCCAGATACATGTATTTAGCCTTTGGTGTCTTCTTTCTACAGCCCAGGGCCCAGGACAAGCAGCACTTTCCCCACCGATCCACTGAGGCCTAGGGAAAAAAGAGTACCCTAGTTGATTAAGGGCCATTGTTTTTGACAGGTTATAAAAGCATACATTAGCAGAGAAAAATAAGATGATTTCTGAGTACAACATGCAAATTAAAAAATCCATGTAAAAAGTCAGCTTTCAATTATTTAGGTACAGATTATTTTTAAAGAGTTTTTTTGGTCAACATAATTACTTTAGTTTTTTTAGTTTATGTACCTACAGGATTGTGTACTAATACTTTAAAAAAATAGTCTGGATTTTGTAACAAAAAATATCAAATATAGTAAGAACAACTTTAAACTATTTAGAAAGAAAAAATACTTTTAATATTGAATTTGAAAATCCTCATATTCTATCCCAAACTACCTTGTGGTACCATTGCTCCTAGCAACTTAGCTATCTGGTCATTTTTAGAAGAGGGCAGTGAAAAGTATCAGTTACTATTAATATCACCTTTCAAAACACTGTTAGGTCAAAATTAGGTCACATCTTTTAACCACATTGTCTGTTGGGCACTGTAATCCCAGAACTCCGGAGTCTAAGGCTAGCCTGGGATACATAGCAAGACTTTGTCTCAAATAAAAAACAAAAATAAATAAAACCACATATTTACTAATATAAAAAAATACGTTTTTGGGGTAGTGGTGGTACAGATTTCAACCCAGGGTCTCACTCTTGCTAGGCAAACCCACTTGCATTGAGCCACCAGCCCTTTTTTGCTGTAGTTATTCTTCACAGAGGCATTCATGTATTCATCCAGAGCCAACCTCAGACCACAATCCTCCTACTTATGCCTCCACATATTACAGATGTGCACCATTATTCCTGGGTTGTTAAGATGGAATCTCACTAATTTTTTTGCCTGGGATGGCCTGGAACGGTGATCCTCCTGATCTCCACCCCCCAAGGATTACAAGCCAAGCCACTGTGCCCAACAAAATATACTTTCACTAGTATATTTTGGTTTCACTTGTTGCTCTACAACTGGAAGGAGATACATGATATAAAAGCAAGTAGTATCTCTTAGAATTATTTCATTATAAAAGGCTCTGCCACTTTTCCTTTGAGATGCTTCTGATCAATCCTAATGGATGTGATCTTAGATAAATAATCATTAGAGAATAAGAAAGCAGAGTCCCTGATTAATGTACAGAAATGTAAGTTCATTAGAGAGCTGAAAGTTACCCCCAGAATTTGTCTCAGATGAAACTTAAAATGAATAAAACTAAATGACTATGCTGGGACCTATAGAAGTTATATTCACCTCTGGCCAACAAGTCAATTCTTAATTATTTTGGCTGTTGCATCTCCCAAGTAAAATTTAAATCCTAGATTGTTCCTTTGTCAATCAACAAATAATCCAGGCTACATGATAAATTCTAACTTCAACTGACGTAATCCCACAAAATGGAATCATAATATGACAGATACATACTCTAATGTGAACACCCAAAGTACTTTATGATCAAGAAAGGCAAAACTGTCTATTTGAAACATGTTTCTAAATTGGCCAATGGAAGCCAGTGAAGTTACTTTAAAATGAAAGCTCTGAAAATGTCTTTATACATTCACTTGAGCAAGGTCTTTCTCATCTTATTGAGACAACCACCAGGAACCTAGTACTCTTCCTCTCTTCTCCATGGTAACACTGAGCACAGGAACAAAAACTCAGTGCTTTCCACTTCTAGTTTAGTTTGTCAACAAAGCACTGTAGGCTGCATTGTTCCTGAGGATTTAAAGGCAAAACTGTGGCCGGGCATGGGTAAGCTGTTACATTCCAGGAGAGGGTGAGGGGGACCAAGACTTGAGGATGACTCCCTTAGCAGTCTCTTTATTACCATCACATCGTAACTAAAAAGTTATTACATTACCATCTCAAAAGACACCCATATGAAAACAATTAGCATTAGGATGCACAAAATTCGTTAGTACCCCATATAACATAGGAGTTCCTTTCCAAAGTAGTTACACACAAAACAAACTTAGTATTTAATGTTAGATAACCACTCACTACTTGGATTTTACTCTTTCTCCAGTTGTTTAAATTTTCTGATCTAATTATGGAAAAGACTACTGTTCCTAAATCAATGTGAAAGCCGACAGTTTTTAACAGGACAAACAGCACCATCAAAGGATCACAGAGAAAGGCTAACATTGATTGCTGACTTTTAAAAACAGCAGAAACAACAGGTTTTATCTGTCTGGATGCGTCTTCCAAGTTGAAGGACAAGGCACACCAGGCTGAGTTAAGGAAAGCCAAAGCCAAGTGTAATCCAATTTAAGACACACACATACACACATGTAAATTTATTGTTCCCCACCTGTGGAGTAAGGCAAGCAATAAAATTAAAACTAATTTAACTACAAATGGAATCACAACTGAATAGCATTCTTTTTACATTAGAAGGTGTACATTTTTAAAAAAAATCCTCACATTTCTGTTTAAAATATACATATATTTGTCAAATTAAAAAAAAAAAATCAAGCCACAAAGGAACAACAGGATCTCTCTACTCTATCATCATCAGAAATCTCTTTTGTTCCTGTGCCTTCATCTCCCTCAAATATCATACACAAAAAACACAATATGCAAGCAAGAGGTTTGTGAGTTCACAGGAAGGACCACACCACACATACCCCCAAACACAATATGCTTCACTGGAAGAGAAAATAAAATGTGCCACAGTCATGCTGGGATGAGAAGCGGTGGGGGAAGGATGAAGGCAAGCACTGTGCAGCACAAAGGTCGTAAGGTAGTCTCGCCAGGGTTTAGAATGAGCACTTGGGTTTCCCCAAAACATGAGGGTGCAAGTCCGTGAAGCAGGAGAACACAGCAGCTCATCTCAGGATTTACTTCTGAAAAGAATGGTTAAGTGGCCAAATTTAATCCCCCAGACCATGGAACAGGGTACCACAGATAGCAGAGAAGCCATAAAGAACATTCACGAAATATCTGCAGCTCCAATTCTCCTGCTTCTTAGGCCATTCCAAGCCATTCGTTCTAAAACCCAATCATTTGCTATTGGCAGTCTTTTAGGAAATATTTTCATGGATAGCATATGAAATACAAAGCCATATTTGAAGGCAAAAGTTATAATGGTATTGTGGTTTTTATGAAAGTCTTCTTCCATATCAATCCTCAACATAAATATCATCAGAATTAGCATTCTATTTAAATAAACTCAAGTAATACTGACTGCATAAAGACTACAGTTAACACTTAGATTTTTCACTGGAAAAGAAAGGGCTGGACCTGTGGCTCAGGATCTAAGTACAAACCCAAGTTACACCCCGCCTTCCCACCAAAAAAAAAACAAAAAAAAAACCACTTAAGAAAATGTTACGGATTGGTTTAAAAAAAAAAGGTCAGGCACTAGACACAAGGTAAATACAAGTGCTTCTAAAGAGGACAGCACAGATATCAGGAGTAGAGCTTTATGAAAACAAACAACAACAACAACAAAATACAGATGATGAAGATCTCCATTGAAGATTTTCACTCAGGGATCAAAGGTGGAGTTCAAGATATTTCTGATGAGTACTGTTTTTGCTTGTTTGTTCGAGACAGGGTCTTGCTGTGTAGGCTTGGAACTCATGATCCACATGCCTCAGCTTACCAAGTGCTGGGATTACAATTTGTACCACCATACCAGGCCAATGAATATTCTTGTTTTAAAACCACTGATATATTAAAAATTATTTGGGCTGGTCGAGTAGCTCAAGTGGTAGAGCACCTGCCTAACAACTGTGAGGCCCCAAGTTTAAACCCCTGTACTGCCCCCACAAAACATTTTTTTCCCCAGAAGACTGAAATGCTAAAGAACATGATGGAAAAATATATAACAGTTATTGTTTCAACTACTTGCAAATCGTTTCTTTACCTTGTTTTTAATTTGATTCAACAGACATTTACTGAGTCCACTGAGCATCAATAATACAGGATATACAGTGTAGTGCAGAGTGGGGTTGGGCTGGGGAAGAATTACAGGATCACAATAGTTCTACAAACAGAACTACTTACTCTCATCTTTATTTTCCTTTTCACCTTGTAGCAGGGTTTCAACTTTAGCACTGATATCTTGGGCTGGACAATTCTTATGTTGGATGAGGCTACATACCAAAGGAGTATTTATTTAGCAGCACCCCCAGTTTCTACCCAGTCTATACCAATAGCAACTTTCATCCCTCACCTGTAATAACCAGAAATGTCTCCAAACATTACCAAATTTTCCCTAAGGAGGCAATCACCCCTGAATGAAAACCTCAGTCTAACAGAAATAATTGATTAGCTTTTGAAGGATCACAAATATGAACAGTGAAACCATATTACACACAGGAGTGTCAGGAGATGAAGTGTATTATTCTAAGATGTTAGAAGAACTTTTTCTAAAGGAAACAACTTTAAAAAGTGCTTTCTTATCACAACCATAGAACCAGAAGGCTGAAATTCTTATCTGTTCAATGATTCTCAGATATATGGGAACAATCTACTTCCTCTGGACCTCCTTCTACCTTCATACTCTCCCCTCAATACTTTAGAGTTAGAATTTTTCATGAAATGCAAACTCCTAAAAATAATGAGAACAGATACTTTTTTTTTTTTTTCAGTGGTACTGGGGTTAAACTCAGGGCCTCACACTTGGCAAGCCTTCTACCACTTGAGCCACTCTGCTAGCCCTGTTTTGTGTTGGGTATTTTCGAGATAGGGTCTCCTGATCTATTTGCCTGGGGTGGGGTTCAAACCATAATTCTCCAGATCTCTGCCTCCTGAGTAGCTAGTATTACAAATGTGAGCCACACTTGTAGGATTACAAGTGTCTGGCTAGTCATAAATATTTTTAAAAATAGAGAGTAAATGACAAAATTTTCTGCCATTGAATTTTGATTGAAAAGCAAACAGGCACAGGGATTTCCAATTCAAGTATTTTACAGGGGCCTTATAACACCACCTGACTAAATCCTGGTATAACTCTTCTTCAGAATGTGCATTTCCTATTTAGATCAAGTCACAGATCTCTTCGGAGAAGCTGAAAACTCAAATGTTTCCTCAGGCCTGCACCTTTCTAAATAAGTATTTCACATGAGGACTGATAATCTGAGACAAAGTTCACTAAAATGATGTAGTGAGGTCAGGAAAAGGAAAAAAATATAGGCCCAAAGGAGACTGAGTTAATGGACCTGAGGCCCACAGTTCTGGTCATATCCACCTTTAGGCACACGTAGGTATTACTCATAGGCATCACACTGCTTTTAGAAAAAGAAACTGAAGCTGATTTCATGCTCATCGCATCACTTCAGAACCATTATTATTTATCATACTGCACAGGAAACAAAAATGGCATTCCACAGGACCTCTTACACAGCAATCTTATGTCACTCCACCTGGACATCAAGCCTGCTCAGTTATAAAACTAAAGCTCAGAGAACTGCCACTTGGGTAAACTGTGGATGAAAACAAGTGAGTGACCCAACTCAGAAATGTCAGGCAGTCCTGAACTCTGCAAGCTTCTCTGTAGCTCAAGGACTAGTGAAAGTCATACAACTCATACTTGTAGAGCACACATCGCCCAGCTACAAACAGCAATGGGTAAGATAATGAGTCGGTGAGTTTGACAGTGTCAAATTCTCTATAGTAAAAAACACTAGCTCCAGAGTTCTGATTCAATGATAGTTTAAAAATTACATTTAATCTGTATTTTGATCAAGAGCTACACTTTAATAACCTGACACTAGGAAGTAAGTTTTACTCATGTTCTACTACTCTTTTTACCATAGAGTTTCTGATCTCTTTCAAATAATAGGCTGTTTCATTGCCTCCTAACTATGGCTTGCATATAAAAATTATGTTGGGGGAAAGCCAAAGAGGCACTTTAAATTAAGGCACAGTGACTGACAAATCAGAAATCATTTTTTCTAATTTTGGTCTTTGGGCTCTGACCCAAGAAAAAAGTCCAGTTCAAAACTTTTTTTTTTTTTAAACACGAATTCCATTTAGCTTCTACTGTGACCCATGAAAACTAAAAACAAAATGTAAAGCAGACAGAAACGGAAGAATTTACTCTCACCTTTGAGGACAAGACCTTCACACACAGAGGATTAGGACAGGAATGGAAGAGACTTATGATATTTCTGAAGTCCTGAAAAGCCTACAACAAATGCTTGTCATCAGTTTTCTAGGACTCCATATAAGAAATGAAATGCGATGCACAAGGAAAAAGGCTGAAGCAACACATACAGAATGCCCCAAAGAACACAGAGTACACACTGGAAGAGCCAAGATACACGCTAAGAATTGACAGTAACTGCTTATTTCCAACCTGTGGTGGCTGTGTGGTGGTGAATCGATACTCTCCTTGTTTGTCTCGATTGAACACAATTTTCCAAAGGACCGTGTCAAGGAAGAAGCTCTGAGAGATATTCCAGTGAGTTAAGAATTAAAAATGACTAAGTCGTTTGTTTTTAACATGCACATTTAAAAACATTCACCCAATGTTGCATCATTAGTAAAAACTATTATTTGGTTTTTATATATCGAACCTTAGTTGATACTACAAAAGGATAAACAATAACAGGAATTTTGTACAAATACAAATCATAAAATTCTTAATAAAATGGGGCTTCTAAATTTTCCACAAACTATGGTTTTTATACAAATCCTCATTGCTTTCCCATATCAAAACAATGGTGATTAATTTGAAGACTTTTTCTTGACAATAAGTTATTTTCACAGACTGCCTAATACTAATACTGGGTCTATATCTCTATCTACACATATGAGTTCATCAGCATCCAACACAAGTAATTCTTTAGAAAAGATAGGGCTTATACTGTAGAAAAAGCAATGTATGTAGATGTCTACATCTACATAAAATAGAAAAATACATTCTACTGGGCAACTTCTCTGTAATATCCATGATACTTGTTGGATCTCAAATTTAAACACCACATCAACTTTTGGTAGGATATCTCAAATTAAGCCTAATTTCTAAGTCTAGAGCTATTATTATCACTAAAATATACATATTTCCCTACAGATTACCCTTAATTTTAATTCAAAAGCCTACACTATGAAAAATTTATTGCTATGGCGAAGTAAATGTTGATAGTAATGAGCAGCAAATGAGAACTAGCTAGCTCCTTTTAGAGAAGATGACCTGAAGGCAATCCTAATGGAAGAGTAAATGTATACAATGAATCAAAAAATACTTCAGTCTTCTGAGGTCACTCAAAAGTAAATACCAAGGAAAATGTTCAAGTAATCAGTGCTGAAATGAGGTTAAGTCCATATTCGTAATTATTCAATGCTTTCAATAAACTCTTGATATTACTACACTTCCTGGAGCACCACTCCCTCCACTGACTTTCTTCCTTAAATAGGATAGTATGTGTTACATCACAGACCACAGCAGGAACATGGCCACCATGATTTCATAGTCCCTGGGCAGTTCATGAGTTTCCTGGATACTTACTTCCTTTCCACTCACTCATTCTTGCTATCTCACTGTTCATAGCTTCTCTTATCCACATGAATATATCTAAGTTCATGGAAAAGGTCGGAAGGGAAATCTAAGTGAATTTGCCTAAAATGAAACTAAGACTGTGGGTTTTTATGATGTTACATGTTTTCTTCCTCCACTTTCCATTAAATTACCCAAGAATTTCAAAGCAACAAGGTAACCATGTGACTAGCCGCAGTGCTTACCTCCACCATGACAGACACGAAGGCATTGACAAGAACAATGACGAGCATGGTTATGCGCCACTCATGTGGTACACACACAATCTGTAGATAAAAAAATTAAAGCTGTTGCAGGTAGTTGATATAGCATTATATCAGAAATTTACCAAATTCCTATTATGTACCAAACCTACATCCACTCAACAATACCAAAAACTATCTTTTCAAGTGATAAATCTCTAACCAAGTTAAGTTAAAAAGATATTAAGTGGCTGAACTTAGCATCAAATCCTGTTCACTCAGACTTAAAAGCCCATACGCTACTAAACCACAAATTCAGTCCTTATTTTTAAAATAAAAGCCTTTCAGGCAAATATGAATCTAATACCAAATCAATTAGGAAGACAAATTCATAAAACAACTCTACTGATCAATTTAAGAAACGTAAATTTTCATCAAATTTAAAATCTGATTAATTCTTCCCTCCCTCTTTTGAGATCAGGTCTCACTATATTGCCAGGAACTCCTGGGCTCAAATGATTCCCTTGCCTCAGCCTCCCAAGTAGCTGGAACAATAAGCACAAACCACCACACCTAACTAAAATCTGTTTAACTTCTAAGACCTAAAAATTAAAAGAAAACTCCCATTAATGCATTCATCATTTTCCCCAGCAAATGTTTAGAACTGAGTATCTAGTATACTGTTTAAATGCCAAGGAATGACATAATCTAATAAACTTTAGAAAAAAAAAATTGTTGCTCTAGTAAGAAGGGTTTTAACATAAGGAGACTGCTATAATGACACACGTAAGAGATGATGGGGACTCAAACTAGAGTGGTAACAAATGGAACTGGAGAGTAAAGGTAGAAGGATAACAAAACTGAAAAGTGTAACAACTGTCTGGCTATGAAAAAAGAGAAAAAGACAAGGAGAAAGACAGACACATATATATTCTGACTCGGACAAAGGGTGATACCAAGAAAAGAAGCAGAATGTCAGAAGAACACTGTAAGCTTAGTTTTTAAAATATTGATTTGGGAAACTGTTGGGTGAAGCAGTCTAGTAATATTAAATATGTAAGTAGATATTCAGGTATAAAGCCCAGTCATGAGCGCTCAGGGTGCAAAGGTGAGTAGTCTTTAACTTATAGATGGTAACTGTGGGCGAAACCATGACTATAAGTGAGATCACCTGAGAGTAGAGTAAAAAGAGAGTAAGACCAGAAAGATGAGAACTAACATTTAGGAACAGGCAAAGGGAGCAGAAAAGACAATAGAGACTAAGAATGAGGAGTCATAGAGGCAGGAAAAGACCTGAAGGGAAGAAGCTTCACAAATTCAAGCAAGGAATGCTTGAAAAATAAAGGCACAACTGCATAGTTCAATATTATTGGAGGGTCAAATAACATTGGGGAAAAGATTAAAGATTTAAAAGATTAAAGGACACAAGTCTGTTAGACTTAACCAATAAGAAGACATTATAATGGCCTTGTAAGGGCAATTCCAGTAGATTGGCAGGTGTAGAAGCCAGATTTATCAAGTGTTTGAGATGAGGTGAATGTGGCTGTGAAAGCAGAAGACATGTGGCAGTAGAGAAATAGAATGTGTTTTGCTTTTTTCTTTTGCTTAAAATGCTCATCTAAATCCCTTAATGCAGCATGTGAGAAAACACAGATGCTAAATACTGTTAGTAAACCTATAATCTGGCAACCTCTTCAAAGTTCAATAATGCAATGCTTATGTTAACGATTCTACATAACCTTTACTGTGGTATGGTATGGATTTTCCCCACCAAAACTCATTTTGAAATGTAATTCTGGTGCCTACTTAGCAAGCGTGAAGAATTGAACCTCAGTACCACCATCAAAAAAAAAAAAGGAATGTCAAAAAGGAATCTTTGTATTTTTAAGTAGATGAATTTTCCAAAGAACTATGACCTGAGGATCACTGAACACAATGAAAGTACTGTAAAATTACAACCTTGTTTTAAAAGACAGTATAAACAAAGTTAAACAAAGGCCAAGCTATTATACAAGGAAATTAACAAACCAAACCTAAACCTAAAAGACGTATAAGAGTGTAATGATCCTTGTTTTTTAGGTTGAATGATGGGCTTGGGATGTTATTTCATTGTTTTATCATTCTGATGATTAACTTAAATGTACATGCATTTTCCTTTGTATAAAGAATTATTTTATCTTTCATAAAGGTTTTGGTGAAAAGAATGAAGAACTAAATGACCAGCAGGGGCAAGAGTACTTCAAGAAGTAACTTAAGCTGGGCATAGTGATTCAGGCCTAGAATTCTGGCACTTGAGGGATTGGGCAGAAGGACTGCAAGTGAGACCAGCCTGAACTACACAGCGAGATCTGTCTCAAATAAAAAACAAACAAAAAAAATCCAAGAAAGCAAGCAAGCATAAAAGACAGAAAAGCAATGAGATATCTGAAGACAAAGGGAAACTGAACAGGAAGCAGAGACCAAACAGGTATAGCCAGTAAAAGCTGCTATTTTAATTATGTTACTCATTCATTTTAGAGTATCTTTAGTTAATATAAGTGCATCTTAGAAAAAAGGGAAAGGAAGAGATCCTGAAAACAAGAAATGGAGGCAGTTTAGTCTCTTTCCTCTAACATAAGAGCACAGGAGTGAGATAGATCTAAGCCCTTATATCAAGCATCATGAAGTCTCATTTGGCTATTTAAATTCCAGATAATACTAGAGTGTTATTTTCTGTGACTGTCTTGCTACGATTACCCAAGTTACTATCACCCATGAAACAATAAATGATGTGCTTAAGCCTTACCTGAAGAACCTGGTCCACAGAGGCAACTGGATGTAACATGATGAATAATATGAAAACATATAAAATAATCACAGATACAACAAAAAAATCTGGAAAAGAAAGTAAAACAAATTAGGAAGTGCCTTTAAATAAGAAGGGATCCAATAACCAACAGTATACTATCATCTCCAAATTTGGTTTAAACACTTCTACTTAAGTTGATAAAATATATAAAACTGGGCACAGTGGCTCGAGCCCGTAATTGGGAGGATTCATGATTCAAGGCCGGCGAGAAAAAAAGTCTGTGAGACCCCATTTCAATCAATAAAAAACTGGGCATGGTGGCACACACCTGACATCCCAACTATGCAGGAAGCATAAATAGAAGGATCTCGGATCTGGGCTGGCCCAGGCATAAATGCAAGATCATATCTCAAAAATAACCAAAGGAAAAAGGGCTGGGGGCATAACTCAAGTGATAGAATGTATGCCTAGCAAGTGCAAGGCCCTGAATTCAAACCCAAGTACCTTAAAAAAAAAAAACCGTGTATGTTGTTATTTTTTTATAGTATGAGATACTATTATAGCCTCCAAAAGATTCATGTGTATGATGTGATATTGTGTATTATTAGCCTTACCTTTAAAGGATTTCAGAAAGTAATCAGCACTTCAAAAATAAAATTCAGATCTTTGTGGAAATTTATTTCCATATCCCACAGATAATTAGCTAGCTACAATAATGGTAGTCAATAATATATATATTTATAAGTAAGAGACTAGACTATGTATGACAAAATATGATTAACTTTTAGAACACACTTGCATTTCCTTGTGACCAGAGATGATGAATATTTCTTCATGTGTTTTTGGTCATTTGTAGTTCTTCCTGTGAAAAAGCTCTGTTCAATTCACTTGCCCATTTCTTCAATGGGTCACTGATTCTTTTGCAAGTTATTTTTGAGCTCCCTGTAAATTTTAGTCATTAATCCCTTCCTTGTCAGATAAATAGCTAAGATTTTTCTCCCATTCTGTGGGCTGCCTCTTCAGTCTGGTTACTGTTTCCTTTGCTTTGCAGAAGCTTTTTAGTTTCATGTAGTCCCATTTGTCAATCCTTGCTCTTAGTCGCTGAGCCACTGGAATTCTATTTAGGAAGTTATTGCCTGTGTCTTTATGTTCCAGTGTATTCCCCACTCTTTCCTGCACTACTTTCAATGTTTAAGGCCTTACATTAAGGTATTTGATCCTCTTTGAATTTATATTTATATAGGTTGAAAGACATGGATCTAGTTTCAATCTTCTACATGCAGATATCCAGTTTTCCCAGTAACATTTGTTGAAAAGATTGACTTTTCTCCATTATGTTTTGGGTACCTTGTCAAAAATAAGGTGGATATAGCTGTGTGGATTTATGTCTAGGTCTTCTATTTCCTTCCATTGGTCTTCATGTCTGTTTTTGTGCCCAGAACTGTGCTTTTTTTTTTTTTATTGTGAATTCAGTTTGCTCTTTATTTTTTTTTTCCATTTTTTTTTATTATTCATATGTGCATATAAGGCTTGGTTCATTTCTCCCCCCTGCCCCCACCCCCTCCCTTACCACCCACTCCGCCCCCTTCCTCTCCCCCCCCATCAATACCCAGCAGAAACTATTTTGCCCTTATTTCTAATTTTGTTGTAGAGAGAGTATAAGCAATAACAAGAAGGAACAAGTGTTTTTGCTGGTTGAGATAAGGATTGCCCTTAACGCAGAGAAACTAAAGCAGATACCTTAAAGCAACTGAGGCCAATAGGAAAAGGGGAACAGGTACTAGAGAAAAGGTTAGATCAAAAAGAATTAACCTAGAAGGTAACACCCACGCACAGGAAATCAATGTGAGCCATGCTGTTTTTTATTGCTAAGGTTCTATAGTATAATCTGAAGTTGGGTATTGTGATACCCCTGGCATTACTTTTTTGTGCAGTATTGCCTTGGCTATTCATGGTCTTTTTTGTGCTTCCATATGAACTTTAGGGTTGATTTTTCAATCTCTATGAGGAATGGCATTAGAAATATGATGAATATTGAACTGAACATACAGATTTCTTTTGGTAGTATAGCCATTTTCACAATATTAATTCTGCTGGTCCATGAACATGGAAGATCTTTCCATCTTTTGATGTCTTCTTCAATGGTTTAGTTTTCATTGTAGAGGTCTTTTGCTTCCTTTGTCAAGTTTATTCCTAGGTTTTTTGGGGTTTTTTTTTTGAGGCTGCTATAAATGGAATTGTTTTCATAAATTCTTAAGTCTATTCACTGTTGGAAAGAGAAAAGCTACTGGCTTTTTATATATTGATTTTGAATTCTGCCACTTTGCTGAAGATGTTTAGGATGTTGTAGAATTTTTCAGGTCTTGCAGGTGTAACACCATGTCATGCGCAAATAAGGATAATTTGACTCCTTTCTTTACTTTGTGAATTCCTTTTATTTCTTCTTCCTAACTTACTGTTCTAGTTCTAGCTAGGAATTCCAAAACTGTGTTGAATAAAAGTGGAGCGAGTAGATACCCTTGTCTCATTTCTGACTTTGGAGGAAATGGTTTCAGTTTCTCTCCATTCAGTATGATGTTACCTATAGGTTTGTGGCATAGTCTTTGTTATGTTGAGCTACATTTCTTCTATTCCTAGTTTCAGAGCTTTTATTAAGAAATGAAGTTATAGTCTGTAAAAAGGTTTTTCTGTGTCTATTGAAATGATCATATGGCTTTTGTCCTTGCTTCTGCTTTAGTTCTAGTTTTATACTGTTGTGATCAGGCAGTATGCAAGAGATAATTGCAGTTTTCTTTTATTTGTTAAAGACTTGCTTTGTGTTCTAGAACATGACCTATTTTGGAGAAAGTTCAATGGGCTGCTGAGAAGAATGTGAATTGTGCTGCTGCTGGAAGAAATACTAATGTCTGCTAAGTCCACTTAAATCTATGGTGTCATTTAATTCTGAAGTTTGTTGATTTTTTTGTCTAGATAACAACAGTGAGTACTGAAGTCTCCCACCATCATTGTGTTAGGGCCTATACCAATTTTATCTACTCATCTATCTATCAACCAATCAATCATCTATCTATAGATATATATAAAAGCACTGCTCTCTCTCATAGAGTATATTGAACATGTACCCTTAGACATGCTCAATATTTTCTTGAAATCTAAAAACAGTGAGCTAAAAATAACATATGTATATCAACTTTAATTATTAAATTCACCTTATAATGAATTAATTTTATGAAATCCTCTTGCTAGTATAGTGATAAGCTTTATGTGAAAGACTTTTTGTCTCACAGCATTATTCTAATATGGTTCTCAGTAACAGTTACTAGTATACTTACATGATAACTATAACAATATAGTTATTCTTACATAAGAAATCTTACCTGTCCAAAATATAAAATAAAATTTACTATACAAACCACATAAGGTAGAAATAAAAAAGAAACAAGATAATGTACATGAAAATGTTTTGTCAACTAGCATAAAGTAGAGATGCTGATTATTACTATAACATACTGAATTCTGTGACCTGTCATTTTGTCAACCAGAACAGACTTCTTTTTACAATTACAGCAAATGAATAACTACTATCCACTTTAAGATACTGCAAAAGTCTGAAAGTTGTTCTCTGTATCAATTACTATGTTCTTAATTTTTAGAAAAACTGGCAATTTACACATAATAGCTGATCTTTGTCCATACACATTAATTTTGGTCATTTAAAATCTAATCACATACTACCACAGGCAAACAAGTCTATGCAGGTACAAGCTTCCATTTTATGGGCTGCTTCTGCAGCGGCATGCAAAAGTAATAGAAGTAAAAAATTCCAGACATGAACACTGACCATACCAGTGTCAGAAAGGGAAAAAAAAAAAAAAAAAAGGCAGCTGGTACCATGTAGACATCCAAAAGGAAAGCACAATACCCATTATCTCCCTTGAAGACCCTCTGTTCTGATTTTCAATTCTAACTCTCCTTGCAATGGGTTGCAGAAATAAAAAGTCAGAGCCCAAAGTAATAGGATATGAAAACCAGCAATGTTTAATACTGTGGGCTTTAGTTTCAAATTTAGAGTAGCTATTCTCCTGAAGACAAAACAAGACAGTAAACACTGAAATCACTAGGTTCATTCTATCTGAGAAGATCTATTTTTTACTTTCGGAGGCCAGTTAAAAACTCTTCCTTCTCTCTATTACCTATTAGATTTTTCTTTTAAATGGGACAGGGTCTCACTATGTAGTCCAAGCTGACCTGAATTCAAGATCTTCTTCCAGTACCCTCTGCTTCCAGGGTACTGGAATTACACTCCTGCACCACTATGCCCAGCTCTCCATTAATTTTACAGGGGAGGAGAAGGGTGGGGGATCATAATAAATATCAAACTTACAATTCTTGTAGCAAGGTTGCCTGAAGGGTTTTCCTTTTGAAAAGGCAATTGCCACAATGAGGTACTGAAAACTGGAGATAAAAAACACTGTGGTATTTTCACAATTTTGTATACTGTGTTTATCAGTTTCAGTTTCATTGCATAAGTGTGAAGAATTCCAATACAGGCCTCTTGTTACATTACAAGCACTAGAACACACAAAACATTTTTTCATTAGTATTTACAGTACCATTTCCCAAAAGAAATCAGTTTTACCCTAAATATCTTGAACCATTATCATAAACAGTGAAGTTGTTGTTTAAAAAAAAGGGCCAACATCAATGTAAGATATATAGAACAGGAAAAATAAGGGTTTTCTATTTAGCTAGACATTCCAAATCAGTTTTAAAAAAGTAAAATCAAGTAAGAAATACATAAAGCCCCTCCCCTCATTTTTCACATTTTGGAAGTAATCTTAGCAAAGAGCAGGTAAATACACCATGGGTTTGACTTTAGCTACCACTTTTTAGCAATATTTGACTTTTTTACAATATTTAATGTCTCTGATCCCATCTTCTCACCTGTGGGTTATATCTACAGCATCACAGCATTACTGTGGGGCCTGAGTAAGACTTGTGTAAATGCCCAGCAAAGCACTAGCACTAAGAGGAAGCTCACTATTCTCTTGTTCTGACTCACCCTCATTTCTATTTCCAAGTAGGCAGCAGAGTCAGGCATGTATAGAAATAAGTATGAGAGTCCCCACCATTTATAATGAATAAGTGCAAGTAACAAAAATGTTAATTTGTCACAAATGAACTTTTGAAACATTTAAGACAATTTCACCTATTCCTTTTCATAGGCAGTGTTTTCATGCATGTAAGATGTTAAATTTTAAACACAATCTTGAACTATAAATACTTACATCTGAAAATTTAACAAAATTATTTGAATTTAATTTAAATAATGTTATCAGTTTAACTTTCGAGCACTCTACAAATAAACAAACGAAAGCACTTAATATCATTTTTTAAAAAACAAGTTTTAAAATGCTATTTCCTAAAATAGGAAAGTTGGAAGCACAAACATTCTAGGTTTAGCTAAAAGAGCCTCAGGAGATTAATTCCAATTTTCTCATTTTACAGTTAAGGTTTGGTAGCAAGTTAAGCAACTGGTCATCCTGGTAATGATTATTATTTTGCCTGGACACTTTCTACTACTGCTTGTCCTTTCCCAAACTCATGCTATAAAATTTGATCCCCATTATGATATTAAAGTAGAAGGCTAGTTGGGACCTTTAAGAAGATTAGGGCTCTGCCCTCATGAATGGGTTATCTCCAGAATAGGTCTGTTTCAAGTCCATTTGCCTAGCTCTCTCATCATATGTGGCACCTGCAGTGCCCACAATCACTGCCAGCAAGACCCAGGAGCCAAAAATAAACAACTTTTCTTTATAACTTATTCTGTAGTGTTTTGTTATTAAAAACAGAAAACAGACTAAGACACTCTCCTACAGATAAGAGTTACTGCAATCTAAAGACATACACAGGCATATATATATACATATACATATACATATATTATGCAAGTTTAAATCAAGCTGCATGCAACTTTTACACCATTTTAAGATTCATTTTTATAAGCACAAATGTTATACACATTTTACACAGATTTCTCATACGGAGTGACAAACTTACTCTAAATGTGGACACCATACTTTATACCAAGGCTGCTGCTTGACCCAAAAAAAACCCAGAGATTGAAATCCAATGGAGATGATAATTTGAGACAAAACGGAGAAGAGAAGGGCCCCAGATATAAGACCTGAAGGTGGTCTTTGTGCCACAAGTTCCTTCCAGGCAGGATTTAAACTCACTATATTGAAAAGAAAAGAAAAAAACGTTTATATTTAAATGATTTACTATAAAGCATAATGAAATTCATTTGGAAATTTGGTTTTGTCTAATAATTCTTCAATATGAAAAGCTTGAACGAAACCAAGCCAGATATCACATGTATTTAATTAATCTATAAAAGTAAACAATTTCGGCTTTTTCAGAAATGACTCAGAAATTTTTAGGTATCTACTGAATTTCAGAGGAAACATTAGCACAGACAAAAGCAATTCTAAGTATAAACCAGGAAATGGAGGTGCATGCCTGCAACCCTAGCACTCAGAGGCTGAGGCAGGAGAATAACAAGCCTGGGCTACACAGTGAGACCCTGTCACAAAAGAAAAAAAGCCAAATAAAACTAGTTAAAATAATGTATTTTTCCTATTTATTAACAAAAGTTTAGAGCAATATAAAAAGGTTCTGATCACCTATTAAGGTGGTGTCCACCAAGTTTTCCACTGTATTTTTTTTTTTTTGGTGGGGTGGGATGGTGGTGGGGGAGGTAATAGGGTTCTACAACCCAGGGCCTTATGCTTGTTAGGCAAGTGCTCTACCACTTGAACCATACCTCCAGCCCCGAGACTATCAAAATCCTTCTTTTCTAACTTTCATTCACTGGTTTCATCATCTACTAAAGATTGTCTAACTCAGTGGTTCTCCATTAGAGGGGACTGTGCATTCCCAGGGAACAGTTGGCAAAGTTCAAAGCTATTTTTAGCTGTTATAATGTGAAATGTATGGATGGCATCTGTTGGGGAGGGGGACAGAGATGTTGCTACACATTCAACAATGTCCAGAACTGCTTCTCACAGAAACATCTGCCCTAATGTCATACGAGGTTTATCTCCATAGTCTAAGTCCAATATTCTTCCTATTAGTTAGCATTTTCCTTAAACTAGATCTTTCTCTTATCTCCCAAGTATTTATCTATTTATTCCCAATATGGATGGACTTATGAATTTTTATTTGATTCAATGAACCATCACCCCATTATCATCATTTAGTCTGATGTTGGTATCACTGACATTAGAACAAACCAACACCTCGTGCCCCTTAAATGATTTATATAATGCATCTAGAAGGACACAAGTTTAACTGCAATAAATTAGACAAACCCACATTCATAAATGTCAACATCAAGATGCTCTAAAAAGGCTCAGGGATTATTCTGGATTAAAGAAGACTAAAGAAACATGATAATCAGATGAAATCTGTGGGGATAGACTGTACACTGGTTCTAATCTAGGTGAGAAAATGACCATGGGTTTTGGAAGCTATAAAATGCCAAATTTCCTGACCTTCAGAACAATATTCACTTTTGAGAAATATACACTAAAGTATTCAGTGGCAAAAGGGTATGATGACTGAAAACCTACTCTCAAATATTTCACAACAAATAAAAATGGAGAATTAAATACATGAAGCAAAATATAAACAACCAGTAGTAAAAGAACATATTTATAGGCAATCTGGAGAAGTATGAGTTGTAATTGTTGAGATAAGTTTACCAAAGTTCAGTAAGTCACATCAGAACTTCACATGCTTTAAAATCAGTAACAAAGCAAAGTACTCACTTGTAAATACCACTACCAAAATGATTGCCAGGTCAATGAAGAGAAACTGGAAATCTCCTAGGTTACTTAAGATCTACAAAAGTAATTTTAAAATATAGTTAGTTTTCTAGAAAAATTTTTATAGCATTGCTTCCAGGTTATACACTGGCTTTTCCCAAATAATGGTAACTTCAAAATGACACTTGACCCTGCTTAAAAATGGAAATATATGAGCTGGGGGCATGGCTCAAGTGACAGAGCACTTGCCTAGCATATGCGAGCAAGACCCTGGGTTCAATCCCCAGCACTGGGGAGAAGAAAAAAAAAAACAAATACATTTGCCTTTGAAGCTAATCAAATAAAACATTTATAAACATTTGATTTAATATGTTAGTATAAAAGGCATCCTTAACATTCATTCAAGAAAACGCTTTTAAGAAGTTTTTGGGGGCTAGAAGTGTGACTCAAGTTGTAGAGCACCTCTATAAGGACAAAGCCCTAATTTCAAACCCTAGTACTCCAAAAAATGTTTTTTGACAAAAACAAACAGAAACTTTAACTCAAAATATCCAACATTCTTGCAGGAGGTGTGGCTCAAGCAATAGATCATCTGTATAACAAGTGCAAAGCCCTAAGTTCAAAACCCAGTGTCACCACCAAAAGAAGAAAAAAAAAATCCAACATTCTTGATCATGAGTATTTTGAAGCTTCCTTAATCTCCAACACCATCCCTCCTTTCTGATACCTTTTACAAATGGGAAAAGGGGTAGTTCACAAAGATTCCTTCGGATATCACCAGTGTTCAACATTAGAAGAAAAATCTATGGCGAGATCACTTTAGTTATAATGTCGGGAAGAGTACCTGTGGATACTACTGTTTATGCTTTTTTCCCCCAAATACATAAAGTACTACAAATTATTTCAATGACTTTCACATTCTGTCCTTTTCCTGTAAACGTTAAGTACAACTGTATTTCACATACTGACATTCTGAAGAGTAAAAGATGTCCAATCTGAACTAAAGACAAAAAAGCATGCTGTCATCTTTGCTTCTTATCACTTTAGGCGGTTTTTGACCTTAAGGAAAATGCTTTCTAGATTAAATAACACTTTCAATTGGTTACTTAAACTACAGCAACCCCAAGGTAAATTCATAGATACAACTTACATAAATTTCATTATTAACGTACATTCAAAATCCAACTTATACGCTTAATATCTTAAATGTCTTAACATTAAGTGTCATTTCTGCGCACAACATTAATACTCACAGAATACAGGAGAGTAACACTGAAGTACTGAATGATGCTATACAATGCCATAAATTTAAACACGCAGAAGGAAGTCATTAAAGCAGCACGGCCTTCCCTATTAAAAGAAATGTTAGCATGTCAATAAGAACATTTTAAACTCCTTTTCCAAAAGACAATTCTATCTTGACAGATGAACATCAACATTCAACAGATACGACAAAGTGCCTGTCTTCCAAAAGAACTCAGCTAATGCAGAATCAGGAGAAATGGAGACTTATTAATAGGCTGAAGCTCAAATGTGCTACTGAACACTATAATTCACATTACTTTCTATGATAATTTGCACTTCTATATAAGTGTGCACAAAGAAATAATGAGAAAAAAAAATCCAATTTGTACTACCTGATGAGGTTTGGCACACAGGAAATACTAGGAGTTTTAGAGGTAAAAGGAGATGCTACTGAAGCCTCAAGCTCAGATAAGGAAATGCCTCCATGTGCCCTCTTCAAAGCCTAACGGGTTCAAGAACAACAGTTAAGTGTTATAAATATGACTTAGGTTAAAGTAGAATTACGAAAGTAAACCACAAAAACTATACTTACACCACAATCATTTGCACCATCACCGCACATCCCAACAAAGTAACTAAGAGAAAAAAAACAATTTTAAGATTTTAATTTCTTAAAATACACATAAACTATAAGATTTCTCCAATATAGTATTGTGAAGTGCTAACAGATTCCCTGAATGGAACTAAGGAATCTCTTCAATACAATGACTATAGGAGTGATGCTTTGCTAACAGCATTGGTTTGAAAGTGAAACAACCTATACTATTTCTGTAATAATATAGGCAAATCAGTGTGGTGTCTCAAATTACTTTTTAGAACAAAGGGCTTTTGCTTGTATATTATTTAGCACCTTTACTTTAAGGTTATCAGTAAAGATTTCTCTCTTGAAAACATGAAACACAACTGATTCCTTAAATTACTAAGTGATTTCTATGAAGACAAAGCACCTGAATGAATGAACTCTCCAAGGCATTACTTGTGAAAGGACGTGGCTATTGTATTCTAAATAAACAAGCACATAAGCCTGTTTTAAAGAGGCACTTAAAAGTTCTCACCAGACAGGGCTGATGGCTTTCACCTTTAATCCTAGCTACTGGGAGGCAGAGATCAGGAGGATTGTGGTTTGAGGCCAGTTGACACCCTATCCCAAAAACAGTCAACACACACAAAACAAAAACAAAACAAAAAACAGGGCTAGTGGAGTGGCTCTAGTGTACAGCATCTGCCTAGCAAGCACAAGGCCCTGAGCCCAATCCCCATACAGTCAAAAAAAAAAAGTCTCACCAATCTTATACGTGACACTTATTTATACGCATGCACACATGCAAGCATACATGTGCACACATATTGAGAATTCCTTATACTTGGAATGTTGGGAAATGCTTGGGAGAAATATTTCAGTTTTTGAAGTTTTGGGGATATTGGAATATTTATAGACTTTCAACAGCTGAGCACCCCTCATCTGACAATCCAAAAACTGAAATGCTCCAGATTCTATTATGATACTCAAACAATTTCAGATTTTGGAGTATGTTGGATTACAGGCTTTTGGATTAAAGATGCCCAACCTGTATGTAAGAAATACTAAGTTACTATTCTGAGTTCAAACAAGAAATTATAATTCAAGAAAACCCAAAACAGAAAACTCATCAATACTCACTCTACGTTTTGCAATGCTTCTACTAGTTGTGTCTTCTGATCAGGTGCCATACGAGCAAATACAGTACCATGCAACATCAACTACAAAAAACAGAAAAATTTTTAAAAACTTTGTCCCCAATATACTCTTGAACACATTCACAGATTTATATCACTTACCTTAGGAACAAGATCTTGAAAATGCTCCAGTATCACTGAAAATGATTTTCCATTCATTGCAAAATGGTAACGAGTCAAGTGAAGATCTTCTAAGCTATCGTGAACCAATTTAATTGGAATAGCCTGTGCACAAGACATTCAGAACAATATGTAGATAGCCAAACAAAGTAACATAATCCTTTTGAAATATATTGTCCCAAAACTGAGTTATTTCATTTGCCACTTTTCACAAGATACTAAAAGCTTAACATTTATTCAAAAGAAAAGGAAAATCAATTTTCAGGTTATCTGTAATGTTTATTTAAAAAAAAAAGGTTAAGGAAGATTAAACATCAGCTTTAATATGAAATGATCCATGAACTGAACAATTAAGAATCGCCTGCATCACTTACCACTTATCACTTAAAAAATAGGATAACTATTTGGGATTCTTACACTTTAAAGCTCTGGTTCTCAGGGCTGGGGACACTTGCCTAACAAGCACAAGCCCCTGAGTTTAAACCTCAGAGCCAATAAATAAATAAATAACAACAACAAACAAAAAACCCTATGGTCTCAAAATGTAAACATTGATATTCCCAGGACTGCCCTAGTCCTAATGAATCAGTCTCTAGGGATACAGTCTGGACTTCAGTTTTCAACTAGTTTTTGTTTTATTGTGCTTTCTACTTTTTTTGTTTCTCCCCAGCAAATGAGGAAACTTCAGAGGAGAGCATTAATCTTGAGGTTACCTCTGAGTCAACAGCTGATGAATTACTGCACTGGGTTAGGGAGTCTGCGTAATGCCAGTTTATCTTGGCAACTTTCCCATCCTTTGGAGGTAATGCTTCAGCAATAATAACTTTATCCTGAGGTAGAATCATTCCACAATCTCTGGCCACAGAGACAGCAGTCAGCATGTTGTCACCTAATTTTCAAAATATTTTAAATGTATTAAAATCAAAACAAAAACATAAATGTATCAAACAGGCATTTACTGAGAATCTACACTAGTCCCTATGATTTAGCTGGGTTGAATAAGCATAACTATGATCGTTACCCTTGAGAGTTTTAAAATAACTAAGTCAATTAAGAGCATACTTAGTAAATAAAAGGAAGCCTCAAATAATGCAAGCACATATGCTAAAGTTAGAACATTCTTAGCCCACAGTTTTTTTGTTTTTGGTTTTTGGCTTTTTTTTTTTGGAGAAAGGATCTTGCTTTGCATCCAGACTATCCTTGAATATGCCACATAGCCCAGACTGACCTCACACTTGTGAACATCCTGCCTTGGCCACCCAAGTATTGAGATTACAGAAGTGTGACACTACACATGGCTCATGCCGCAACTTTTAAACACAGTATTTTTTAGTCATATACTATTTCTGTCCCACAACAAATGGTGGTATAACATACAGAACAAGTCCTTAATAAATATTTATAAAAATAACCTAGAAGTGAGTGAGTAACTGGCACTCTGTGTAAAAAACACTAGCACATAATTACAGAAAAGGATGAATTATAAAAGATTACACACAAAAAAAAGTTAAGAAAGGTAATAAGAACAGATATAATGAGAAGAAGACAGACAACTTCTCAGTCACAAGAAGGAAAGAACTGAAGAGAAGCAAAGGCCCAGGGATCTGACTACTACTGGAACAGCTTGGCAAGATATTTCTTTCCCCAATTCTCACACACTAGCTTTCCAAGGTGTCTTCCTGTGACCTTTGGGGCACAAAGCCATGTTGTTTTGGCAAAGGAGGAGGAAGAAGAGACAAAGATAACAAGTACCTTGAGTGAGGAGCCATTAGAGCTAAGTTTTGGGAATGGTAACAGATTTAGCAACCTTTAGCTATAGAGTAAGAAGTATGCTATTAGATCGATCTCAGAGTCTAACACACAAAAATGTGTGCAAGCAATTCCCATAAGTCTTAATCTATACATAAATGCCATAAAGAGTAATTTAAATCTGATTATAATAGGAATTATCCAATATTATCAACAGTACAAAAACACCAAGAAGAATCTGATCAGATACAGTAGTCAAAAAACACCCACCAAAGAGGCTATTTGCACTATTATTAATTCAAACCAGGACAGTAATTATATATAAAAATCTAATTCTAACAAGTATCTAGTAATCACTTTCTATGTACCTCTTCTAAAAAATTGTAAAAGACCCCAAAATGAACAAAACACACTCCTAATCCTCAAGATTTTTGTATCCAGCAGAGAAAACATTTATAAATAATTAATACAATACAAGATACAATAAGTGCTATAAGAAATATATGATTAAAGAGAGGTAAGAAAAAGAAATAGAATTTAGATTTTTATAGTGTGCCCTTCACTATTTTACTTTCTATAAATACAATTTGCTAGACTTCAAAAAGAATACTGCAAAATTATCTTATGCCTTGAAAAAGTGTTCTAAACTGCAATAGGACAACGTAGGATGCAGCAGCTATATGTTTCCATAACTAACTGATCATTCCTCAATACTGCGTAACTTGAATTCTACAGTCATGCTCAAATTGTTTTCTGTGTTCTTTTATAAAGTCTAACCTGTGACCATGACAGTGCGAATGTTGGCTTTATGCAAATCTTCAAGTACTGCAGGGGTTTCTTGCTTTAATTTGTTCTGCATTATAATTAATCCCATAAAATCCATGTTGTTTTCAATGGCATCTCTGCAGAAAAAAAGAAGTTTTAACACACAATGGTTTAATCAAGAGAACAGGTATTGTTCTCTTTGTGTTGACAAAGCAATTTAAAATATCTATGAAGTAAAACATTTTATATACTGAATAAACCATGTATGCATTTATAAGTTCAATATCTCAAAAAATTTAAATATGGAAAAATAATTCCCAAGAAATCTAGTTTTCATATACTGGAATAAAAATGTGTCCTTTGAAACACAAAATATAAGGATCGCTGAGAAACGTATATCCTTATAAAAGACTAGATAATTCTAGCACTAAGGACTCTTACACCTATCCAAAAATACTCAAGCATAAATCTACTCTTTACTATCCCTCATAAAATATACCCTAATTTAAACATTAAAAGGGAAACTAAGAGCCAGTGGTTCCCATCTGTAATCCTAGCTACTGAGGAGAATGAGATCGGGAAGAATCACAGTACAAGGCCAGTCTGTGCAAACAGTTTGGAAGACCCCATCTCCAAAAATAACCAGAGCAAAATAATTGTAGGCTTGACTTAAGCAATACAGCACCTGCCTTGCAAGCACAAAGCCCTGAGTTTAAACCACAATCCCATTGGGAAAAAAAAAAAAAAGCGGGTGTAGGAGAGACCACACCACCACAACAACAAAAAAAACCCCAAGTCAGATACACTTCCAATGGATTTATTATCAAGCCTTTATCAATTTTAGAAAATTTTCTACAAAATACAATCCTTGATCCTAGAAATGTTATAGCAGAGTCTGTTACTTCCATTTCGTGGGAAGCAGGAAATGTTTCCCTTTCTTTCCCCCACTTCTCTGTACTTTATCCTGCCATACCAAAATAAATCCTTGCTAAAACGAAAACAAACAAAAAAAACTAGCAATGCAACAATGAGTTCTATTCAGGACCCAGAGATGCATCTTTTAGAACACTAATAATCGATAGTTATCAAGATGCTATTCTTCAACTAGCTGAGTATCTAAGCACCAGCACTGTGCTAGTCTAGTCACTGGAAAGTCAAGGATGAAAAGGCATGATTCTCTACTTTCAAGACTCTTGTGGACAAACAGACATGTGAACAAAGAGATGCATGGAAAATACTAAGTACTTCAGCACTATAATGGAGATAAGGTCTCTTCAGCGATGGCCACATTCTTAAGAAATCTGAAGCTGTGAAAATTACAGCACAGAAATATTTTATTAAATGAGGAATGGGAACCTGAAGTTAGGAACCAGAATTTGAGACCTACCATAACAAAGTGTTTGTTATACATAAAAATTCAAGAATAAAGGTGCCTATGATACCTAAACATCCTTAAAATATATAACGTTTAACAAATTATATGGTAAACTTAAAATGAATGACATTCCTGGTGGTAACAGAAAAAAAAATCTAGAATCCTGAAATTGTTTTCAAACCACAAAGTTGTACCAGTGTAGTACCACTGGGTCAAGAGCACAGGTTCATTTTCCTGTGGGGCTGTGGTTCCTGTTTCAACCTGTTTCCTAACTCTCCTATGGATGACATAGGGCACAGAAACTCTCTCCTGCAATTAATAGTTAAGATATAAAGATTTGATCTCTAAGAGAAATGTTAAAACCTATTCCTAAAAGAAAAAAGAAGGTCTTGGTGGTTTGAAGGAAGAGGAAAGAAAAGAATATAGAAAGAAGGTTGATAGGAAGGGATAGAGTGTGTGTTCTAAACAGCCTATTTAATGGCACAGAAGGATGTCTGAATTTGACAGGCTCAAAAACTACACACAGGCAAGCTGGAGGTATGGCTCAAGTGGTAGAGCCCTTGCCTAATAAGCACAAGGCCCTGATTTCAAATACCTGTAATTCTCCCCACTCCCCCCAAAAAAGAATTACAAACAATTCAACAGTTAAATCTCTAAGGGGGGAAATGTTATCAAAAGGTGAAGTTAAGAAAAGATTAATGTACCCTTTGTAGGAATTAGTATATATTATATATCTGTGACCCTCAACCAAGTATATGCATTCGTTCATTGGATAGAGGTTTTTTGGTTTAAAAAAAAAAATCTCCAGAATAGGCAGAATTAAAAGGACAACCAAAGATATTCCCTTCTGCTTACAAAAAGAGCATGAAAAAATTCCTAAACAAAAACATCCTCAAAGGGTAGGTCTACATCAGTTACAATAAAAGTGGCAATACCTGAATGTGAAACCTATATTTATACAGAGAAGGAAATGTGATATTAGTAATGCCATTTGACCTGGGGATGGGAGTGTGGTGGTGATATTTGGTATTGTGACCCATGAAACAGACCAAATTAGTATTTGTATCCAACCACTGGGCAAAAGCTAGATCATGTGGGCAACATGCCTGACACACAGTAAGCACATGATAAATATTTAACAAACTGAAAGAAGTTACGAGTTTTATGGAAAATCATACAACATTACAATAATATAAGCAAACATGGGCAAAAAGTCAATACAGAATAAAGTGAAATTAGATAATGGAAAAAAATTGTAATTTTACTTTAACCACCTAAAACAATGTTACATTATAGAAATAGTTGCATATGTTCAATATTTAGAAATATTTGCATATGTTCGGTATTTAATGAATAGCCAACCATGTGCGATTTACTATACACGACTTACAGAAGCAATACCAATGCATTATTGGAAAAGCTGTAGAAAAGCCATTCAATCTTACCTACTAATATTCTGTACTTTATGCCATGTCAGCTTCGACTCCAACTTTCTGTGTGCAAAAGCAATCACACGGAAGCCCTGTTTAGTGTAATCTTCTAAAACTTTCTCAAAATCAACAGGAACTATTTAAAAGAAAAAATAAATTTCATTTTAGAATTATTGGCATAAGTTCATACAAATACCAGAATTGAATCCAAAACCATATTTCCTCACCTGTTTCAGGTCTACAAAGACTGGCAATGACTTCAGGGGCTCCCTTCATGTAAGCATCCATTTTCTTATCCCCTAACACTCTTGCAACCACACTCATACGTTGCAAAGCAGAAGAAAACGGAAACTGGCGAACAATTCCTATCTCATAAATAGCCTATGTAAATTCAAAAGATGCACAAAGCATTTAGTATTCTTTAAGAATAAAAACAAATGTACTCAGGTAACAAGAAAACATTCTTCACTTACTGGAAGTTCAAACAGCTCCTAAAAACAAAAGAATAAACAAAGTACAGATTAAGTCTATTAATATACTCAAGGTAGAAAAAAACCTTAACCATTCACAAATCATTATTCTGCAAAAATAATGAACTTTGACAATTTTATTTTATTTTATTTTTTGTGGTATTGGGGTGTGAAGTAAGGGCCTCACACTTGCCAGGCAGGCACTCTACCACTTGAGCCACTCCGCCAGCCACAGAACTTGATTATTTTAAAGTCAAGACTCAAGATTCCTTCTCTACCACCTCCCCTTGAAAATATATGTATGTTCTTAGGATTAGGGTTGTAGCTCTATTGTAAAAGTATCTGCCTAATATGTGCAAGGCCCTGGGTTCAATTCCCCACTGCCATAACCAAAAAAAAAAAAAGAAGTATGTTCTTGAATATTTTCAAATATTCTGAAACCCTAAAAATACTAAGCACATTAAATGCTAAAATAAATGAGGGAACTTAAAAAACTCCCCTAAGCCAGATGTGGTATAGCACTTGGGACACTTAAGTGGAAGGATCACAAGTTTGAGCTACTCTGGGCTATATAGTGAGACCATATCTCAAAAAACAAACAAAATAAAAATTCAGCTAAACTAAAAACTTATTAGTCTTCTTTTATATGTTCTTTTTTATGAAATTCCAGGAATACAGATACAATTTTAAAGGATTAACCATCGTGTACATAAATCATTAGGCACTACAGTAAACAGGAGAGAAAAATAATGGCACTGAGAATTACATCTCAGTATTTTACAAAAATATGCCCATAGCACACAGGTATACACAGTTAAAATACCCCTATTTGCATAAGAGTTAAATAAACGGTATTTTAACTTCCTCATCTAGAAACAGTTCCATGAGAATTAAAGGTAAGGAAGCATCAACAGAATGTTATAGCATTAAGTGATCTAATACCATTTCTTGGTTTCTTGCAGCGGTAGATTCAGGAAGCAGCTGTTTGGGAGGACGAACCACAGTAGGCATAATCCGATTATGAAGTGCTGTTTCTTCTTCAGTTGCTTCTTCCAGAATCTGAAAGGAAAACATTAAATACATCACTTTATAAAATTCAGTTTACTAGCTCCATTTTTAAATACAACAATATGGTCATTTTCTGTGAACTTAAAAAACCAGACGGTTCTTACAGTTGTGAAAATTTTCAGTATATAATGAAGGGACTCCTTTCAGGAGAAGATTTAAAAGTGTATGAAGTTCAGATATGGTTAGTGGAACCATTATGTCCAGAATAGGCTAAGGCACAAAGATGCTTGCTTAGAGTTTCAGCATGAATATTTGCAGTTAAGCCACTACTATCTTAGCCCCTTGAAATTTACTTTAAAAACACTTTTTTTGGATGAAAAAAAAATTTAACCAGGATTAGGGGTGTAACTCAGTGCCTAGCAGGCACAAGGTCATGGGTTTGATACTTAGCACCATAAATAAATGAGTAAATTAATAAATTCAAACAAAACCCTAAATTAAACACACATGGAAGAGAAAATAAAGTAATATGACTCTATAGCTAGAGGCAACCAAGCAATGAAAAAGTTATGAGGACAGAAACTGCAACCAATCAGCCTACTCTGTACAAGTATACCACACATTTTCCCTCATATTTCAACATTTTGAAAACTGGGATGCACCGTATATTATGTGACATCAACTATATCACGTAGCAGTTGTGCCTATGCTGAGTGCATTTCACGGATCTGTAAGATCTCGTAGGATCAAGCATCAAAGCATCTCAGGGCCAACACAATGTGTCATTATGAAAATTCACCAATTTTTAAAAAAGATCAAACACTAGACACTAAATCTACTGAAAATATTAACAAAATACAAAAACAAAACAAATAAGCACCTCCTCAAAAAAAAATACCAGTAAACAGAAAGCAAAGGGCAAATTGAAACATAATGACTAACTGAGATACCAATGAAAAACAATGCCCCAGGATAAACATAAGAGAATATCAGGAAAGGTAGCTAACAAAGAAAATTATCAAGTCCTTCTCTAGAGACATTCCTCAAGAGGAATAAGGGCTGCTAACATGAAGGTTATTAGCTTTTAGAACAAAAGCGATACTTGGGCAAGTGGTGACAGTAGACTAGCAAAGTCACTGGAAGTCTAACTCTGCACTGTTCCTCTGAAACTGAAAAATGGCTGTTGATGGGACCTTACCCTTGACACACACAAGGCTCCCTAATCAGCCTTCTCAATCAGGGAAACACAAGTACAGACAAGGATGAAAATCTTAACTACAGCTACCCAGCTTCATACTTGATTACTGGGGTTTGAACTCAGGGCTTCACACTTGCCAAGCAGGCGTTCTACTGCATGAGCCACACCTCCAGTATTCAGCTTCATACTTGAATAGGTAAGTAGTATCCAGATATATAATGAAAACCAAAAGCAGGAAAAAAAGGGAAGGAGGTGGGGAAGTTATTCCAGAGAAAATATACAACTCAGAAGCCAGAGAGAGCTTTAAAAACTCTGATTCCACCTATGAAAGAACTGAGTGTTGTAAAATGTTAACAATCAGAAAACAAGCAAGCACTTACAAATTCCAATAACCAGTAGTAGGGCTAATGGTGTGGCCAGCTGGCAAGAGCACCTGCCTATCAATTGCGAGGCCCCGAGTTCAAACCCCAGTACTGCCAAAAATTAAAATAACAAGTGGCAAAAATAGGCATTGTAATAAAAATGTATATGCTCGTGTATACGTGGCTACCTTGTACTTTTTTTGCCTTGCCAATAAATGGTGTCATTTAAGGTCATCCTACCAGACTTCTAGACACCTGGTTTATATTATAAACCAGGAGTCTGAGTTGGCCATCCTCTATAAGTGTTTAAATGAGTTAATTTTAACTAAAACTGATACTTTTTATACAACTACAAATATTTCTTCAGTGATATATTACTAGAAATTACATAATTAGTTCTTTTTATGGTCATAAGATACATTACCACCAACCTAGTAGAAATAATCCTTCTGTAAGGTAACTTATTATTACATTTTCCTTCATGGTTTTTACAATGTTGAACTTACCCATCCAATGGCTTCAAACATTTTCAAATCAAGTGGGTCACCTGACAGCACACCTTCAATTTTTGTAAGTGAATGACAAGTAGCCATACAAGCAACAAACTGAGATTTTACCAACAACTCATTGCAAACATTCTCTTCTGGTAAAAGAAATCTAAAGAGAAAACACAATGAGTTAGGTTCATAAATTCCTAGTCTCAAGACAATACTCTAATCATGCCTTTTCAGGTTTTATAATTTAAAATCTTTTAAGCTGAGCACAGTGGTACATGCTTAAATTCCACCTACCAGAGAAGCTGAGGAGGATCACAAATTTGAGGCCACCTTAACCAACATAGGGAGGGAACATGACAGGGAGCAAGGAAGGGAGGGAGGAAAAAAGAAACAACTTTTAAATTCAAAACTGAACTCTTAAGAAAGGGAAAATTTCAAGTGCCAAAAATAGAGGAAAGGAAAAATGAGTGGGGTGTGAATTTCAACTGATGTTGTGGCCAGTGGGGGGGGAGGAAGAAAGGAGGAGGCCATCTCCATATCCCAAGAACCAAGGTCCTTAATATCACATCAGAACAGCACACAAAGACCTGGCCACATATGAAATAGGGAGATAGCAGTGAGAAAATTCCTTCTACCTAAGAAAACCAGTGCTCTTGAAGAGTCACATATCTGTGGGAAGGAAGGTAGCAGACTAGAAAAAGGTTATACCCATAAGCTTTTGTCTTCCTCCACTCAAACTCTGAGAAAGGAACTAGTATCTACACAGTACTTACTACGTACCAGGAACAATTCAAAGAACTTTACATATATTGACTCATTTCATCTTCACACCACAGGAAAGGTGTTTTATTATCCCCACTATGGATGAGGAAACTAAAGCAGAGTGGCTAAGAAGCTTGTTGGAGTCCATTAGTAGCAAAGCAAGGACTAAAATGCAGGAGATACAGTTTCTAGAATTTTTTTTTTTTTTTTTGTATGGGACTGGGATTTTGAACTCAGGGTTTCGAGCTTGCAAAGCAGGTGCTCTACCACATGAGCCACATATATCCAGTCCAGGAGGTCTGGTTTCTAGACCTAAGCTCTAAAACTATGCTATACAGAACAGATTTGGGGTTTGAATCTATGCTACTGTCTGGTCTAGAAATCTCCAAATTATAAAATCATCAGTAACACTTGTCTAGTACCATGGGCATCACAGGGGCCTTTGGCTAAGCAAAGTTCAAACCTCTCTAAAAGGGGATCTTCCCCAGTGCAGCCATGAAGGAGTCTCACAGAAAACTCTTGCTAAGGATGAGCCTATAATTTAAAGACATACTAGGAAACAATTCAAAAGAAGAATCAACAGACATTAACAAGGACAGAATTAGAATCCCATAAACCTGAGATAATAAAATGTCAATGGGAAAGAATGGCAAAAAAAAAAAAAAAAAAAACCCAGGCATTTTTAAATTAGAAAAAGAACCCATCATGGGGAATAGGGAGCAGATTTGAGAACAATCCTACATATGGTTATAATTCTCAGATGAAGAGAAAACAAAGTATGGGGAAGGCTACAAATTTTCCAGGACTTTACTAAAGAAAATATGAATCCTTGGAGACAAGAAGCAAAATAAACTGGGCACCAGTGGCTCACGCCTGTAATCCTAGCTACTCAGGAAGCAGAGATCAGGAGGATCACAGTTGGAAGCCAGCCTGGGAAATAGTTCACAAGACCTTATCTTGAAAAAACCTATCTCACACACACACAAAAAAGGCTGGTGAAGTGGCTCAAGGTGTAGTAGACCCTGAGTTCAAACCTCACTACCAAGGGGAAAAAAAGCAAAAGGAATCCTGTTAAAAATAAAGAGAGTTAGAGGTGTGGCCCAAGAGATAGAGTACCTGCCTAGCAAGTGTAAAGCCCTGAGTTCAAATCCCTGTACTGCCACAAATAAACAGTAAACAAACAAATAAAGCCAAACATAGTGATACAGACCTACACACCAGCACTCAGGAGGCCAAGGCAGAAAGATCGTAAGTTCGAGACCAGCCTGGGCTACAGTAGAGACCCTGTCTCAAAAAATCAAAAATAAATGAACAAAAAAAGCATAATGAAACTGCAGCAATCAAGGATAAATATTTTTGAGAAAATATTTTTCCAAGCCACAAAAGGAAAGAGAATACTAGAGACTAGTAAAACTTCTGAGTGGCAATAGTAAAAGATCTAAAAAGAAAAGGAATAATGTCTTTCAAGTCCCAAGTAAACACAAATGTCAACCTAGAAATCTTATAGTTACACAATCATTCAAGAGTGACAATGAAACAAAACTTAATGAAAGTAGTTACAGAAGATGGCAATTTAATCAAGAGGAATGGGATACGTGAAACAAGGGGTAAGAGATTTGTAAATCTAAGCATGAAGACTGTATTAAAAGATCATGACCATAAAACATAATGCAACAAATATATAAAAGAAGGGAGGGGAATAATCAGGGTGAAAGTAATCTATAGTATGGGTTTTCAGAAAGCAGTACAGACAGACCCATAAACTTTAACCCCTAAGTATGAATGTTAATAGCTTAAGAACAAGCAGTAGAAGATATGGATGCATAAATTCTTAGGAAATGAAAGAATGAGAAAATGTGTACATAAATTGAAAGATGGTAGAAATTAATTTCAAATCTGTATGAATAAGTGAATACAACAGCACAGAAAGACTTAAACATAAACAAGTGAAACAGATGTAACAGGCAAACATCACGTAACAGAAAGCTGGTGTGTGTTCTTTTTCTATATGCTTATTAAACCAAATAAGGAGCTAGGGAGCCCCGAGTTTGTCAAACTCCCTGTTTGAACTTGGCTCTCCTCTTCCTCCACCCCCCCCTGCCCAAAAAAGGAATTTAAAGCAACATGTGTTACTAGGGATAAGGTCACCTTATGAGCAAGAAGATACAACTCTTGAAATTATAGAAACAAATAAGTGTCAAGCTACGTAAACCAAAATTTAGCAGATTTTTGAAAAGAAAAAATGACAAACACAACTACAGTGAGAAAACTTCTGATTTTCAAAGGATAATAAAAACAAAGTAGCCAGGCGCCAGTGGCTCATGCCTGTAATCCTAGCTACTCAGGAGGCAGAGACCAGGAGGATCATGGTTCAAAGCCAGACAGGGCAAATGGTTCATAAAACCCTCTCTCAAAAATACCCAACACAAAAAAGGGCTGGCAGAGTGGCTCAAGGTATAGGCCCTGAGTTCAATCTCCAGTACCACAAAAAAAAAAAAAAAAAGGTAAAAAGATGAACCAGAGACTAATAGAATATATTTGCATAGATTACTACCTGGAAACCATAAATAACCTGTACAAATGCGTAAGATAACAGACCATACAAAAAGAAGAGGATATATACAGATATATAGAAGAATGCAAAATGACCTTCCCTCCAAAAATGTGAAGATATTCAACTTTGTAAGTATTGAGAATGCAAATAAAGCTATAATAAAATATTCATTTCATATCTACTCACTTAGTAAAATGTTACAATTGGTAAGGATGTGAAGCAGTAGGATCTTTATTCACTGAGGGCGAGGGTAAATAAGAGATCAGTTAGTAAAACTGAAGCCAAACTCATGCTGTGACTGAGCACTGACACAGGGATTTGACTTTCTCAGACTCAGCCACATGCTCTACATGTATGTAAGAATTTTAATTGCAGCACTGCTTGTGAGAGGGCAGGAAAAAAAGGAGATAAAATGAAATTGTCCCTTAGTGGAAGAACAGACATTATGGTTTAATTACATAATGAAATACAAAGAAGTTAGAATTAATTAACTAGGTCTATACACATCAACGTAAGGCAAAGAAGCGTATGAATGGCGTATCATTCATGTAGTTTACTTGCAGATTATATCTCTAGAGAACATATAAAATATGCAAAAGTAAAAACAACTTCAGAATAGTGACAGAAATACAGAAATGGAAAGAGTGGAACTTTTAGCAATTTCTGTAAAAGTCTAGTATTTTTAATGAAGAGATCAGAAACATATGGCAAAATGTCAACTGTTTAGTCTTGGTGCTAGGTACACAGCTATCTGTTATATTACTTGTTATATATTTGAATATTGCATACTAAAATATTAAAAATTACTAAACTATAAAATCTAGCTAATATTTACCGGGTATTTTCCACTCGTTGAATCCCCCACAGATCTAAACCATCTTCAGTAAGAGTTCCAGTCTAAAATAAGAAAAGTACACATGCACAATGTAAGGATAATGCCTCAAAAAGAAAAAAATCCAAAGACATGTATTATTAAAATCTATGCTACAGATACGTAATGGAGTACTATAGAGAGTCAAGGAAAAGAAAGAAAACAAAACCTCCACATTTTGAGAGAACACAATATGGTTCCACAATGTAGGACAGAGAGGACAAAGCTGTATTAACTATATATTTATGTGCTTATATTGTTAAAAAGATGTACCAACCTATCTATAAATCAATAAATGATGTCTAAAACAGTAGTAGGGATTAGGATATAGGTAGCCAAGAAGAAAAAGTTAAATGACACCAGTTACATCTAGGATGTAAATGACTTGGTTTCTTCAGCAGGAAGAGTAGGCATAAGGGGCAAGAAAAGAAAAGTGTTAGAGATTAATCATAACCACTGGGTGATGGTGGGTCACACCTGTAATTCTAGCTACTCAGGAAGCAGAGATCAGGAGGATCAAGATATGAAGCCAGCTCAGGTAAACAGTTTGATAAGACCCTTATCTCGAAAAAACCCATCACAAAAAAGGGCTGGCAGAATGGCTCAAGTGGTAGAGTGTCTGCCTAGCAAGCGTAGCCCTAACTTCAAATGCCAGTACCACTCACCCTCCCAAAAAAAGATCACAATCAATGAAATCCCTATCTAGATCCTCACTGAAAAAATAAATTGTAAAAATCTTAAGACATTTTTTACACAGCAGTGAAATCTGAATACGAACTAGATAAAACTGCAGGATTGCTAACTTTATTCAAAGTGTAACAGAGATGTTGTGATTATGTACTCTTTTAAACACCTTATCTTCCAGAGCACATGCTGACATAGTTACAGGTATAACTCCTGCAAAATGAGAGGACATATAATGGAATAATGACAAAATGTTGACAACTGTTAAAGCTGGGTAATGAATAATAACAGCTTACTTTACTTGATTATATTTCTGTCTTATCTCCACTTTTGTACCCATTTATAGAGTTTTTAATAATAAAGATTCTGGAGCTGGGCATGGTGGTGCCCATGAAGGATGAGGCAGGAAGATTACAATTTCCAGGCCAGTCTGAGTTACACAGTGAGACAAAAAAATAAGAAACAGCAAAAGAGTCCAGCAGCTAGGGCTGTAACTGAGTGGCACATGTGCTTAGCATGCATGAGAGACACTGGTCCAATCCCCAGTCATCATCCCCCAAGTTTTTTTTTTCCCATAATGCATAAACGAAAATTTCTGAAAAGATATATGAAACAGTGATGGGAGTATATAATCCTTTCATTCTTTTCTCAAAACATACAATTCTCATTCTTTAAATAATGAAATACTCAAAAATCAAATTCTTATGTCAGTTACCTAGAAGAGTTTGATGGAAGGTTTTTTGGTTAAGACTTAATTCTTGAAATAAAACTTTCAGAAAACCTAATTTCACTTCAGGAAGAGAGGAACCCTTGTTAAGAGGCAAGGTACATTTCACACAGGTATATAATTTTCACATAAAACAACATAAAATCAGACAGCACACACTAAATACATATACTTATGAGTAAAATGCCTATTCTGCTAAATTAGAATTAGCTAAATAAAAGACCATATAATTTTTGCTATTTATTACTACACCTTAATTTTTTAAAATATTTTTCGGTGGGAGGGGGGCGGTCTTGCTATGTTGCCCAGGCTAACTTCAAACTTCTGGGCTCACTCTATCTTCCTGCCTCAATCCCCCAAGAGCTAGGACTGTGGGCTTGAGCCACCATGCCCAACTTGTTACTATGTAAGACCTAATTCTGATACAACTAATCAATTGCAGATTTGACCAAGTAAACAATATTCTGAAAGTTCTAAAAATTGAAAATATAAATGTTTTTAAAGATGCATGTGCTAAATAAGCTGAGAAAGGAAAATTAGAGAAATATTAAAAACAAGTGCATGTTAGTTCACTAAGAAAACAGAAAACATTAATCTAAATATTTAAAAGCAACACAATAATCCTTAACAATGCTTATGAAACTGAACCAACCTTGTCAAAACAAACAAGATTCAGTTGTCCACAGATATTTATCCTTTGAGGACTGATACAGAAAATACCGACTTTTTTCAGTCTTCTCTGAGCATACACAATACCAGCAGTCATTGCAGCAGGAAGTGCAGGTGGCACAGTAATTGTAATGATATCAAGAGACTTGATAATTATTACTCCAACTTCTTCCTATAGTTGACACAAAAACAGATGTCAACCACCCAATATTAAATATTTATTAATTCAATGTGGACATTTCTTTAGTGAAAACCTATAAATATTTCTATTTTATGTATTTATATAACCATGCGTATATATATGCATATATATATAAACACATATATCAGTGATTTATAATTTTTTCCTTTCAGATATTCTGCAAAATAGAAAACTCAATGAATTGTTCAATGGATTATAGGATAACTATAAGAAACTTACGACAGTTAAAGAAAACTCTCATTTTAATAGCCCTACATTCTTTACATACAACAAACTTCAAAGCCAAATTAAACTTTGTCAAATACTGACTCATCCGATAAGCACCATTACTATGCCAATCTCTACAGGGATAGAAAGCCATCTGACAAGGTCCCTTAAGGCGCCTTCAATTCAATGTTCAAAAATAATTTTATTACTGTATATTTTCCTTTATCCCAGAAACAAAAAAGAAAAAGCTTCTGGTTCATGTGAAGTATTTCTTTCCTCATTTCTTTTTTTTAAGTTACAATAAGCACCTAGCTAGCTTAGTCAGTAGAAAGCAAGAGACTCTTAAAAGTTACAAAAATCAAAGTGAAAGCCCATCTAAATCAGAGCCATCCAAAAGAATTACATGCTAAGGTGCAAGTGTTCTATATTTGAACCTTTTTGAGACAGGGTCTTGCTATGTAGTCCAGACTGGCCTCAAACTCACAATCTTCTTGCCTTAGCCTCCCAATATATTTATGCTTTCTAATGTAATAGATGCTACTAGGTTCATATGGCTTCTTTGCAGTTAATTAAAACTAAATTAGGCTGAACATTTAGTTCCTCAATCTCACTGGCCATATTCCAAAATTCTCTATAACCACACGTGATAATTAAGAATCAAACTCTAACAAGAGTCGTACATATATACATACCTTACTTAAAATGCTGTTGATAATTGTGTAGATGAACCCAATGCCAGCCACGGCCACAAGACACAGTAGAAACAAGTAGGCATCTCTGTAGAGTTTAAAATCAGTTGGTTTGGGATACAATATAGAACGGACAAGTTGTCCTTTGGAAGTACTAAATCCTTTAAGAAAAAAATTAAAGAAAATTGCTTTTTATAAACAAATGAGAATTATCTCCCTAAACAGAATTTCTTTGTAAACATCTGGTAGGCATCAAATATACCGAAACATGCAAGAGATGAAACGATTTCTACCTGTTCTAACTACTATGGCTTTAACAAGTTCTCCAGTGTAGAAACGAGTCTGAATAACAGTTGTTCCACAAAACAGAGTGTGTCGTTTATGTGTTTCTGGACTATATAATTCCTCTCCCATTCCTTTTACATCCACTGAAGGATTTGGCAAATTAGTCTTTGTCACTGGAACACTTTCTCCTAATAAAAACATGATAGGTAACCATAGAAATCAGTTTCACACACACACAAAAAAAACTTAAATTATGAAATATTCTAAATGTTAATAGTACTGGAGTTCTACATGTGGCTATAACATAGCATAATCAATCAGCTTTTTGTTTTACTAAATGATTCACCCAGAAATACCAAATTTTGTGAGTGATTTGTGACTCAAAGGTAATATATGTCTATATTCGGAAATGACTGCTATTGAACTTCAAATAATTTCAAAGAAGATCAGGTAGATTCAATAGCCCCAGCACTCATTCTCTTATTTTTAAGAACTAAATTGAAAACACTGTTATCTCAAGTACCTAGTGGTATGAAGACTACCCCTAGACAGACAGACAAACAGACATACAACATACTAACTTACTCACTTGCTCATTCACATGTCAGGGAGAGAACAAAAAAGACATGGGCAATGGAGAGAATGAGGGCTGGAGGTGTGACTGAAGTAGTAGAGGGCCTGCTTCACAGGTGCAAACCCCTGAGTTCAAACCCCAGTACCGCCAATAAATAAAGGGCTGGAAGGATGGCTCAAGCATAATGTACTTGCCTAGCAATCATGAAGCCTTGAGTTCAAAACAAGTCTACCAAAAATAATAAACTAAAACTTAAAACTTTTAAAAAATGAACAATATAGGGGGTTCATCCTTCTTTTGAATTTAACTTTCTGTAGTATTTACACTTCTTGCTTCAAAGGCTACTGTGCAGGATATGTACATGTGTGATTATGTGTTTTAAGATGACTCTTAACAGTTTCAAAATATATTGTGTAGGAATGATTTTCTTGCCAGATTGACTATGACAATTAAAAAAAAAAGTATGACTTAAAAGGATATAAAGCTCTGTTTCTAGATTGTGAAGTTCCTTAATGAAGTCACCTAATGTCTACTTCTTTCAAGTTTAAGAAAAATATAGTGCTTTATTAACACTTTTTATATAACACATAGGGAAGCAAATGTTACATTCTCTGTAGGCAAAGGGCTTTCTTCTTTCCTTCTTAATAAACTATATAACACTCCCTCAAGTTGAAAGAGTGGCCAGAAGCAGACCAAGACATGTAGTCAACACCACATGGCAATTTAGTATAGGGCAGAATTTGGTCTACCCAGGCAGAATGATTCAAGTGGTAAAACCTAGCAAGTGTGAGGCATGGAATTCAAATCCCAGAAGATCAAAATTTGGTCTACCCCCCAAAAAAATCAATATCCATCACATTCATGAATAAAGTAAGTAACACAGTTAATTTTGGAAAAGTTTAAACAGTAACTACTTAATATTAATATCATCATAAACAACTGGTATGATAGTTGTTGATTTAGTTTAATTTACCTGTTAACATGCTTTCATTTACAATGCAAGTTCCATTAATAAGTACCGCATCGCAAGGCATGACCGTTCCATTTAATGGAATGACCATGACATCTCCTGGCACAAGGTCTGTAGAAAAGATCTCTTCTATTTCTGAATTTAAAGAAAGAATAATTAGAAGAGAATATTCTTTAACTTGGGATAAAAATACAGCAAACAAATGATTTATCCAAAGGTCTGTTGATCTCACTAAGATAAAAATGAGGTCAGTGTGAAAATCCCATTAGATGGAGAGTTGACAAACAGGAGTAAACCAACAAAGCATGGAATGTGCACCATCTGTCTCCTGGTGGGATGCCAACTAAGCACAGGTGTAGCCAAAGTCCCTGTGAGTTCACTTCCTTACCAAGGACAACTGTCAGTAATCAATTTCAGTTACCAGCCCTCTTAAAGGAAACATGGAAAAATCAGCATCTTTTCAGCAGTGTCCTTACAGTGCTCTTAATCTCACAACCACTATTTATAACCCTAATGTCTCAAGCCTTCTCAACATTCTTGTCTTTTTCAGATATTTTAAATATGGCTAACTAAATTATTAAATAAATTAAACACTGTAACATTACCTAGCCCACTATTTCCTTAGAAATTTAAGTTAGCTAAATCCTTTCTAAGAACATCTTCCCTGACCACTATGGTGGCATACACCTGTAAATCCCCAGCACTCAGAAGGCTGAGGCAGAGAATGAGCATCTAAGGCCAGCCTGGACTATACAATAACACCCTGTCCAAAAAAGGCCAGACACAGGGCTCATAGCTATAATCCTTGCTGCTTAAGAGGCGAAGATCTGGAGGATCATGGTTTAATGCCAGCCCTGGCAAACACTTAGCGAGGCCCCAGCTCAACCAATAAAAGCTGGCATGGTGGTACATCCCTATCATCCCAGCTACAGTTAGCATAATTAGGAGGTTCACAGTCCAGGCTGCCCTGGGCATAAATACAAGACCTTATTTGAAAAATAATTAAAGCAAAAACAGTTTGAGTGTGGCTCAAAGTGGTAGAGGACTGCCTAGGAAGCGCAAGGAAGGTCATGAGTTCAAATGTCAGTACTAGAAAAAAAAATAAAGAGCTGTACTGAACATGTACAAACTTAAAAAAAAATCTCCATAAGGGCCAAAGAGTTTTTCATCACATTCTTCTTCCCTCCCCTCAGGTTTAGTACATGTCCAGACCAGAGGTGTGGCTCAAGTGAAAGAGTGCCTGCTTTGCAAGCCTGAAGCCCTGAGTTCAAACCCCAGTCCCACCAAAAATAAAAAAAAGTGTGATTCTCTCACCAGCAATTTTGGGCTGGTGGAGTGGCTCAAACAGTAACAGCACCTGCCTCGGAAATGTGAGCCCTGAATTCAAACCCCAGTACTGCCAAAACAAACAAACAAAAACTTGTCCCCAGAAGAGAGTTATGCTAGTTTGTAAACACAGATGACTGATGAGAAAACTATTGTTTAGTGATATGTCTGCAGGACAAATACATTTCCTTCCTTTCCGAAAAAAAAAGGAAGTACTTTATTAATTATGATGAAACAATTTCTAAAAAATAATATTTAAAGCACAGGTGTACTAATCTTCACTTTAAAAATAAGAACAATTAGTGCACCCACTATAAAAGTCTTATTTTATGCCACGATGTATCACCACCCAGCACGATTAAAAAAAGACTTTTGCCTTAAAAAAAAAAAATTCTTATTTTAAACTTAAATTTTCTCAAAGCTTTAGCACTTAAAATTTTTCTTTATCCTGTACCAAAAAACAAATTCTCAATGATATTTAAGACTATACAAAAGGAGTAAGGAAGATGCAAGTTACTTGGTTTGTCTATTCTGGTACCATAAGTATCATCAGCAACAGCAGAGCAAGAAGAGGAGGAGCACCAACAAACTACTCATTAAATAAGGCTACATCTAGCTGAGGCACGTACTCACAGCAAGAGCAGCAAGTAGCCAGGAAGCACCACAGAAGAAGCAGTCACTTGGACATATGTCCACTAGTCTGACTCTATGGAGTCAAGAGAATGGAGACTGACTTGTATTCTGGAGCAACCAAAGCAGCTCATGATGCTGTGCTGGCTCTTCAACATCTCATCAGACAAACTTACAGCTCCAAACATCATCCTTCGTACAATCCTGCTTCTCTTACAGTGTTCTCTATTTAATTAAACAACACTAACATCCATCCATTCAGCCTGATGCTTCCCTGAGAATTCAACAAGTTCTGTTTAATGCCCATATTTTAGTATCTTTCAAAGCCATCTTATTTCTTATCTTCACAACCCCCCTTTTGATCCAGGCCATGACTGCTAAGCCAATCTAAATGTAGACGTCAGAATGACCTCTTTTTTTGCAAAGGACAAATATAATCACATCACTCTTTTGCTTAAGAAGCACTTCAATGGCTTTCTATTGCTTTTTCATCATGTCCAAATTCCTTATCCATGCTTCTTTCACGCCAACTGGCTGCATGTGCCATACTGAATTTCTTTCAGTTCTTACAATGACCACATCACCTCAATTTCTAAGACTTCGGGTGCTTAGGATCCTTTTTCATTCCCTTTCACCTTATCAACTTCTCATCTACCTTCTACCTTCCTAATTCAAAGAGTCATCATTGACAATTACTTCATCAGTGAAGTCACCCATGATACCTACAGTAAATGAGCTCTAGGAGATAAGTTCTCTGACCTCTCCCTATCATACTATTTATCATACTTCATTGTTGTTTATCTGTGTTTCCAGTAAGACTGAATCCCCAAAGCTTAGTGTAGTACCTATCACAATGCAGAAAATGAAAAACACAATTTTATGTAGATGAATGAGTAATACATATTTGTGGTTCTTAACAAATCAGTACAGCTGGACAATGGTGGCTCACACCTATAATCCTAGCTACCTGGGAGGCAGATCCCCAGATCAAGGTTCCAACCCAGCTTGGGCTAATAGTTTGCAAATCCCATCTTCAAAATAACAGGAGCAAAATGGATTGGATATGTGGCGCTTTGTAAGCGTGAAACCCTGAGTCAAACCCCAGTTCCACCAATAACTAAATGATAAAAAATTAGTGGGGGTTTGTGTATATAAAATAGGCTTACTTCATATGTTAGTGTTTAGCGGACTTTTTTATTATGTATCTTCAACCATCGCCTGAAGAACTTACCTTCATTTACTCTGCAAACTGAAACTCTCACGGTGCTATGAGCTGCCACCATGTCATGCAGCATAACATATTGCTGAAAGAAGAAAAAGCTGTTAAAAACTAGTCAATAATAATCCATTCCTCCAGACATTAAAAAGCAAGGTACTCAAAAATAAGGCACATTAACATTCCAAGTATGTATTACTCAGCCTTTATAAAATGTCAAGAGTCAGAGATTCAGGAATATTCATTGTTTTAGCTCAAAACAAAATACGAAGCACTTTAAAACTGGATTAGTACACATCTGAAATCTCAGCACTTGGAAGGGACACAAGGATTGTGAGTTCAAGGCCAGCTGAAGTTACATGTGAGACCATGTCTCCAAAAAAATAAAATAAAATTAAGGCGACATCCTGGGAAAACAAAACAAACAAACAAAAAAACCAATGTAACCAGCCTTTTAGCATTCTACAATTTCAGTCTGTGATAAGCAACTATAGATCCCTAAACCCTCTAAGTAGTCAAAAAACCTATCTTCAGCCGAGCACCTGTGGTTCACATCTTTAATCCTAGCTACTTGGAAGGCAGAGGTCAGAAGAATCATAGTTTGAGGCCAGCCTGGGCAAAGAGTTCTTGAGACTCTATCTCATAAATACCCAACACAAAAAAGGGCCAGTGGAGTTGCTCAAGTGGTAAGAGTGCCTGCCTTACAAGTGTGAGGGGATGAGTTCAAATCCCAATACCATCACACACACAAAAAAGGCAGAAGGATGTGTAAAATAACTACATGACTTACATGTTATATTAAAAAATGTAAACACAGTTCAGAAGCCTGTAGTAAATTTTGGCTTACCTTTCTAATGGAATACAGTGAGCTCACAATTGATACTATGGACATAACCACAATGGCGAGAGCATAGTAATAGTACTCATCAATGCTCCACAGTATAACACTGAACAGCTGGAAAATGTAAAATGGGTTGAGAACCTAAAAAACAAGATTTTTTTTAAGAAGTCAAATTGAGTGAGAAATGTTTAATCATGCAGATTCTCTACCTTTTCATTTGAGAAGTAGCCAATGAGACACTTAAAGGGTAAACTCTCTAGTACCTGAGGGCAACATGTAGCTCTACATGTTGTAAAGAGTAGGAAATTATGTTAGTATATTCTTCTTTACCATTAAACTACTAAAACATGGCTAAATATGCTTAATTTAAATTATCTGCATCCATTTGGATTCATATAAAACCAAAATACAGATTCAGTTAAAAAAACCAAAGTGTGTGAAACTAGCTGTTGTGCATTCTGCTTTAGTAATAATTTGTTTTCAGTAATTATTGTGCCCTTATCTAATAAGAACTATAAAACTTTTAGTCAAATGAAAATACTTACTTATTATGAACTCAAAATACAAATTTACTTACACATCAAAAGCTCACTGAAGTCCACAGGGAACAGAAATACAAGAAAATGTGTTAAACTCTTTTGTTTCCTCAAATGAAATTCTTAAGGATTTAATCTTGAATGCAAATAAGATAAGGGATCCCTGGAAATAACTTCAAATTCCCCAATTTCATGGTATTTTATCAACTTCATTAATAACCTCCCGATGCTTAAAACTGATGCTTCTACTTTTCAAACCACTTTCACATAGGTACTCCCATGTTACCTCAAAACCAAATGAGTTAGACTCATCCAATTTTGTAGAAAAAAGGACAGCAGAAAGAAATGTTTTCTAAATATCAAAGATGGTTACTGATGAGACAGCATTAAAAATCAGTCTTCCTGAATTCCAAATTGGAACATATGCTATGTTTATGAGCAACAGTACGTGGAACTAAGGAACTGATGGAAAACTGATTATTTTTCTGAAGTACTCATCTAATACAATTAATTCTTTTATCTACAGCCAAAAGCCAGAACAAAGGTTGGCAAGCCTTTCTCTGCGAGACAGTTACTCACTGCCTTCCTCTCCATGCTTTATTCACACTGGTATGGCACTTACAACTAAACTCTCCCAGACTATAGTGCAAGTCCTCAAGGTCAATCATTATAGTGTGTTGATTTCCAAACTTCTTAGAAATGCTTAGTTTCCAATAATGCACGATGATATGCACCAGGTGAAAAACACATGGTAAACAAAAACAAAAAATTTTAAATAAAAACTAGATATCTATAATAAGACAGGGTAAATTTCACTGGAGGCATGGCTCAAGTGGTGGAACACCTGCCTAGCAAACACAAGGCTCTGAGGTCAAACCCCAGTGATATCAAAAAACAAATAGGCAAGATAGAGCAAGATTTAAATAATGTCTTGAAAGTTAGAAAAAAAAAAAAAAAAAAAGGGAAAAGGAAAAGAAGCCTACATAATAAAAATCAAAATTAAATAAAGTAATTTTTCATTTCCTAAATTCTTTGTTAGAGGAAAAAAAAATTTCTCTACGTGTCTTCCAAATAAAATAGGAAGCAAAGAGAAGTTAGGAAGCAGAAAAACAAAAATACTAAAAATTATTAAATTACAACTTTCCAAACTGACAAACCTATTGATCACAAATGTTGGGTTGTGTGTATGTGTATAAATAAACTTACCTCTTTAATTAGAAGCTTAAGAACAGAAGGCACTTTCACAGCAATTTCATTTACTCCATAAAGCAATTTTCTATAACAGGAAGATAGAGGAATAGTGTTACACTGTATTATGTAATAGTATAATTTAGAAAGGCATTCCATTAGATAAGGTTCAAACCAGACTGCCTTAAAGTCATTTTTGTAAAAGTCTGTGTTATAAATGATTAAAATTCCCTACCTTCAGGGGGAAGTGGGGGTTTAAGAGAACAGTGGAGGGGGTGAATTCAAGAATGATATATTTGATATAGTGTAAGTACTTTTGTAAAAAAGTATCCCCACCCAGCACAATAAACTTAAAAAAAATTCCCTACCTCCAAAAACAATTATCTACAGTATTTAATTCAAAGAAGTTAATTCTGGGTAACTATACCATTTGCATTTTATTTCACTGTCTTACATCTTTACGTGTGACAAATGTCTTTCCCATTAGTCAGTAATAACCACCTCAGCAGAAGCCTCTTCTCCATCCTTGAACACAATAGGTCTTAACAAGGTTTGAATTACAATTAATGTTTTTGCAAAAGACTACATAAATTTGAGGAATCCTGTACTATTCTTCTAATAAGAATACTGCATTAAGTGTTTATTTCTAAGAACTGTATATTGACTTTTTAGAAAACGATGCTTTAAAAGTTGCTTAGGGCTTAGGGATGCAGCTCAGCAGTAGGGTGCTTGCCTAGTACACATGAGGTATCACTTCCTCGGTTCCAGTCCCAGCCTTGTTCTCCCCCCTTCCCCCCCAACCCCTGAGACAAAAAACTTCCACTTAATTCCTTACAACAGTACTTTCTATATGATAAACAGGAACTTCTGCCTTTTAGGCAGTGTAAGTTTGGAAGAACGTTTTTGTTGTTCCAACTATTTGAAAAACATCCTGCAGTAGTAGGAGAAACTTCTAATTTAATGTGAAGATGGTATTTATCTCTAAAATAGGTAACACACTGGCATACTTTAACAAATAACCCAATGCAAAAAGCCTGACTACAAATGTACAAATTTTCATTGTGGTAAATTTGAGCTCATGCTTAAAATTCCCAATATTTCAGAAAACCTAAGATGCTACCAATGTACAAAACATAGCATTATTTTATGTATGATCAAGATAAAATTTCTGTCAAATAAAGGTGATTCTCCAGCAACAATATGACACATTCCAATTTCAGGGGCAGCAAAATATTGGGAAATTTGCAATTTAGAATTGGTGAAATAACTTCAGGGATTATCATTGTTGATATCAGTTTTACTCAAATTATCAGTAAATTCTCAACTACTAGTCTATCATCTTTAAACACCTGCTAATACACATAGTTTACTATGTGGTAAAGAATTTATTACATATACTCCTGAATTTAGGAATTTTGAGAATAGAGCTAACTTTAGTTGGATAAAGATTACCTGTAGGCATGCATCCCCTTTGTCAGTCCTGCACTATGCTTTTCATAAATTGACGTACAAGAAACACCTTCATCCAGTCCCCTAAATAAATCCAAAGTTTTTACTTTAAACAAAGTTTAAAATATCCAAATTTCTTAATGCCTCATTTTTCTACATGCCTGATTTTAAAGTGTAACTTCCTCACAAATTTCTTAGAAATCCTTTACAAAAATTTAAGTATAATGGATAAGAATTTTAAAATCTCAAATTCTTAACGTAAACAATAATGAATGGTCTAATCTCAAACACTAGTTATCCATTGCATTTATCGTGTGTTAAGAAGGCTATAAATACAAGTCTATATAATATCATTATCTTTTAATACCGTGCCAAAGCTGTAAAAGACAGTAATTAAAATAAAATTTAAGATAAAGTATAACTTGAGAATTACAAACTAAAGATCAAAAATATTTTATCCAGTTTTTCCTGTACAACCTTAACTTCACACTAAGATTTTCTATTGATTTTCATCCATCTCCACAAAAGCACCAAATTCTCCCCTGAACCAATGTACAGATGCAGTAGAAATACAGAATTTATGAATCATAGATAACTGTAAGACCTGTAACAATCCTAACTGAGATCCAACTAACTTACCTACTTTTCTAAAATATCTTAATTATGCTTATTTTAACTGGGATACCAGACAGACAACTCTAAAGCAAAGAGAATCATACACATAACTTAGTTCCAATCCTCTTCCACTTTTTCCAGCTAGGAAACCTAAGTTCCGTAATTCACTGGTATCATTAGGATACATTCAAATTTTACAAGTTTCTATGTCTGACAGAGACCACACAGCAAATATATTTCACATCTTTTCCCCCAGAGTTTGGTAACTTCTCCAGAAGCAGTGATAAGCAGGGACCAGCATTAAACATTTTAACAAAATGGCAGCATATTGGCAATTTTTTTTAAAAAAGCAATGGTTCTTAATCAGGAAGGGTGTTTAGAACTAGGCATGTGAAAATGCCCACGCCATTTCCAGGATATTCTAATTCTTTAGTGTTTCTGGTGAAAAATCTAGGCATTGATATCCTAAATATTCATGTTTCTTATTTTTTACTGCTCAACTTATGAACTCTTTTGGCATGAGAAAGCAGTGATACTTAAATAAATGTTTGTAATAACCATTTTAACAACAGTAATAAATGTGGAGTCCTCAGCAAGCTAAAACTGGAGGATTGCTTGAGTCCGGGAATTCAGGGCCAACCTAGTCAACACAGCAAGACCCCACCTTTTAAAGAAAAACAAATCCAAACTTAGTACTTGTATAACTTGGAATTCTTCACCAAAAAAAAAAAAGAAAAAGCTCTTCATAAAAAAATAAGTTTTAAGGGAATACTCCAATTTGTCCTACCCAAAGGCTACATATGGTAATGTTCCATTCTTTATCCAAACAGCAAAATTAAGTTTCTATTTGTTTATTTCTTGACTTCTCAAGTAACACTGGGTGGAACTGTCAACAAACTGGGAAATAACAATTCAGATATTATGAGATAAAACATAGAGGTTGAGGACGTAGCTCCGAGGTAGAGCCCCTGCTTATCAGCATGCTTAAGTCCCTATGTTTGATCCCTAGCCCAACACATACCATAAAAAATATCAAGGTCAAAAACATAGGCTATATGGTATACTCAAATTCACTTTAAGGTGAAAATGAAAGAACCCAAGACAGACAGACTTGGGATTTTGTTATTATACTACTTCCATTTTTTCTTTTTTTTTATATAGTCTTACTATGTAGCCCAGGCTGACCTCAAACCTCCTCCCTCAGCCACCCAAGTGCTGATATTATAGGCATTCACAATTACACCCATCTTGTTTCTAAATTTTATCCAAATTTTGCCAAGCTACAAGATGTAAGTAGGACTTACTTTAAAAAGGTCAATAACTCTTCAAATAACACTGGGGAGTTGTTAATGAATAAGTGAATAGAAGTTATGCAATAAAAACCTCCTTAATTTTATGTAACACTAGAATGGATTCTCTTTTATTAGAACATTTTCAGGACATTCAGAATATAACCCAAGCAAAAGAAAGATACTTACTTCAAGATATCAAAATTGTGAACGGTATCATTCCAGAAATATTTTACACTATGGTGGGTGAAATAACGAATCTGCAGAACACACACAAATGTGGTATCAAAGAGTTTATCATCCATCACTTATTGTAACATCTAATCTGTTTCTTCTGTTAATACCCAAATTATTACATTTAGTAGTAGGTATTTCATATGCATATAAATTTATCTCAAGCTGTAACTGCAAACACAAATTATAAGCTATATATAACAATGTAATATGTTAGGGGTAAATTCAACTATGATATTCTGTTAAAAACTTTAAATGTTACAATGTATCCTCAGTACAATAAAAAAAAAACCTTAAAAAATTTGTAAAATGTTAACAATTCTAATTTTGAAGAAAGTTTGACAGGCGATCACAGTACCTGTTGTGATTGAGTCTCTGAATATTTACTCATCTCATGCCTAGTCTCTTCAGCTGGATTCTCAGTTAAGTGAACTGCATGGCCATTTGAAATCTTATTAGCTATAGATTTTGGATTAAAAAGTGAGTGATTTTCCAGAGAAAGCAAGCGAATTTTTGCACAAAACCACATTCTGAATTCATCCTTAGAAGAGAAAGGGAGAGAAGCCAATTTTCAGTTATGCATATTATATAACTGCCTATGAATTTTTGTGTGTGTGTGTGTGTGTGGAACTGGAGTTTGAACTCAGGGCTTCACACTTGCAAAGCAGGTGTCCTACCTCTTGAGCCACTCCTCCAGTCCCTGCCTGTGTATTTTAACTCCCTCCTCCCCACCACGTTTTTTTTTTTTTTTTTTTTAAAGTTTCTCCTGCCGGCTCCACTGCTGAGATGCAGACAGGCTAAGGGTCACTGAGAAATGCCTAAGTCCCACTCTTTATATACTTTTTTTCTAATTGAAAAATCTTCATTTTCTACTCAATAAATTTTAAATAATACCAAAAAGATGAATAAATTTACACAAAGTACTTTCCATTGCTCACCAATTTTATGACATACTTCACAAACATTAATATATTCCATAAAAGATCACAATTCTTTAATTTACAATCTATATCCTGAACACTAGCTATTAAGGCCCCTTATAAACTGCTTCCAATTAGGGTATTTTAAAAAATCATCTGGCATACAACAGAGTCATATAGTAGATAGGCAGCTGGCCTCTGCAAGCCACAGTCCAGTCAATGAGAGACCTGGGCTATATCCCTAGCCAAGTCTAATCTCTCAGGGTGGGCTGAAGACACAGCGCAAATGTATAGCACTTACCTAGCTAGCATGTACAAGGATGTGGGTTCAACCCTTAGTGGGGGGTGGGAAGGAAGGGAGGAAGGGAGGGAGGGAGGGAGGGAGGGGGGAAGGAAGGGAGGGAGGGAGGGAGGGAGGAAGGAAGGGAAAGAAAGACTTCAGACCCAAATATTTTGAAAATATAGACTGTATAAAAACTTTAAAAAATAAAAAAAAAGTAGACTGAACATTCCCCATATTCTGGCAGTATGTTCCATTCATATATTATTTTTAACAAGGCACACACAAAAACATTATTTTACTCCTTGAATATTCAGCTTCCAGTAAATGGACTTACAGTTGTCCTCAGCAGCACTACTTCACAGTCTTTAACTGCAGCTCTAATACAAGTCGCTTTCACCCGCCACTCAGGCATCCAGTAAAGGAGGAGGAGAAGGAACCCGCCAGTGCAAATCACTCCTAAAGAAACTAGGGCAAGCTTCCAGCGACTCAAATTATAACCATAAATCTCCTGCATAAACACAGTGATCACATGATTAATTAACAAATGATATGGCAGATGAATTCAGATTTCCATTGTTTCCAAGATGGGTATTACCATCTTGTCATAGTAACTGTATTTGCTCAATCTAAAATTCACCTTTAAATTTTGTTTACAAGTTCACGGTCAAATTATACTCTTAATAATTCAATTTGTTGATATTTACACTTTTATGGTTTTACACTTGATCTCAGCCAAAAGGCTGAGAAACAATTTTTTATGGTTTTATATTTGACAGGTTTAATAAGTTATTTGCTACTAACAGTTCATTCATATTTAATGTTTCTAACAATTTTTACTTTTAATTCTTTTAACTGACAATGAAATGAGGCAGGACTTTCACAAACAAGCTTTTTGTTTTGCAGTACTTTTAGATGTATAAAGTTAAAATACCAGACTTCTTCTAGACCCTGCAGACCACTCATCCAGTCCCCCTAGTGTTTTTTTGTTTTTCTTTTTTTGCAAATGAAGGACTGTGTTTATACCAATCATGGCACAGTCCCTCATGCTAATGAAGGAGGGTGTTTGTATCAATTACAAGCATTCTGTTGTCCCCTTCTGGCCTGGGCAGAAATGGCTGCAGAGTCATCTAGAGTTCACCAAGGCTTGCAATGGCAAAAAAGTCTAGTGCAAGCTGTTTGAAACAGTCCTTGCTGGGACCATGCCTCAAGAAGCCCGCATTGTGCTTCAGCAGCAAGCAGCTGTGGTTGTCATGTAGCTTCCTCAAGGCATCCACGGAGTGTCAAAGCAGCCAGCGCAGGCATGACAGTCCCCCTAGTGTTAACATCTCAGTACATTTGCCAAATGATTAGTAAACTGCTGTATTATTATCAACCACATCCAAAATTAAAGTTTCACCAGTTTTCCCACTAACATCTTATTTCTATTCCAGGATATAATCCAAAATATCACACTGCATGAAAATATCTCATTTGTTGAGATGGGGTCTCACTAACTTTTTCCCTGGGCTGTCCTTGAACAACAATTTTCCCAAACTCCAACTCCTAAGTAGCTGAGATTATAGGGGTGAGCCACCATACCCAGTTGGGATAGGCTTTTACCTTTTTTTTTTCCAATATGCTAATTGTCCCAATAGTACGGTGACTAATCAATTTAACCCCCTGACCCAAATTATTTCAAATGTTCCTGTTACAGACACAAAGAAGGGTTGTTAGGTATAACAAATCAAAATGTGGAAGGCCTAGTTAAATTTAAATTTCAAATAAGCAGTGCAGGTGGAGTGACTCAAGTGGTAAGAGTACCTGCCACTCAGGGCTCTCTAAGTTCAAAACCCCAGTACCACCAAAAATTTAAAGATATTAGTATAAACTTCAAATGAGCAACAAGTTTGTTTGCTCCATAGCACATTCAGGACATACTTCTACCAAAAACTTTTTCCTTGACTATCTAAAATTCACATTCAACATGTCACCTTGTATTTTATCTGACACACAGCTCTGATCCCACCCAACAGAGTTGAAAAGTTTTTTTTTCCTTAAAATTAAGATCATTTTTCAACTTTACAAACCAAAATTAAAGACATTTTCATTTGAGATTATACTAGTGTAATGACGTATCACCAAATACAAAAACATACTTCATCCCCCTGAGTTTTATCAGCTTACAAGTGAAAAAGGAATCACACTATAACCAGCAAATAGAGGTATTACATAATCTCAATTCAAAAACAATTGGGACGAAGAAACTCACTGATTCATCTGTTAATGTTTTTTATTGTTATTTTTATTTTTTTGATAGTATTGGGGTTGAACTCAGGGCCTGGCCTTTGCTAGACAGGCATTCTACCACCTGAATCACACCCCAGCCCTGTTGATTTTTTTTTTAATTGTCTTTTCTACTACTGAGGATACTAAATCCAGAGAAAAATTCTTCAAACTTCACAAGTAAATTATGAAAGCTAGTTACCATTTCATCTTCTTGACCCTGGTTGATAGTCTTCCTTTCTTCTTTGTCCATATCTACAGTGGTCTGAAATGTCTTGTGCTTCACAACAGTTGAAGGTAACTGAGGAAAGAAAAGAAACAAATGTTTTTTAAAATCTTCAGTAAATTAATTTAATTGTCAATTGTCTATCATACTATCAAAATGTTCTTTGAAAATATTTTTGTTAAATTTGAATTCTTCCAAACCAAGAACACTTGTTTAAGAAATATTAATTCTAATACATGGATCAAAGTTCAATTGTTATTTTAAATAGCTATTAAAGTGCCAGTTGATTGGTATGCCAGTTCTTAAACCTGCATTACTTAATACCATAAAACTCAGCATATTTCATCTATACCTGTTGTAGCAGGTATAAATTGAGAAACTATTATAGCATCTTCCTTTTTCATTCCCCAGATTCAGGGAAATAACCTTATTTAACTACATTGAGCTTAGACACTCTACAAAACTGAATTTATTCTTTGAACTATAGTAAAAAGAAGTACTACACCAGCAGGGAAACCAACCCCAAAACCTCTCTGATTATTAATGACCCAACGAATACCTGCTGAGCATGTTACACCATGGAAATTCTGAATCTATCACTATGACAGGAGTACTCTTAATGGACAGCACTCAACTGACCCTCCCTGCCTCCTTCATTTCAAAGTATACTATATAACATGACTGCTCCTAACTATCCATGAAGCATTAAGCCCAATGACATAGCTTTTCCATTTTTCTCTGTATTTCAAAAATCAAATATTCAGGCACCTATTGGAGATTTGCAAAATGTAAAAATGATACCATTTTTTTTGCGATAGTTTTTGTTTCTTAGAAATATTTCCAGGAAAATGTTACCTAACATATAAGAAGATTTATTCTTACATTTTAATAATTTACTAAATACATCAAACCAAGACTAATTTTCATAGAAAGGAAGAAGTTCCTGGGGAGCCCCAGTCTTGGCACACCAATTACATTTTGACATGTAGATTATACTGACAACAACAGAAATAGGGCAATCCAGTCTAAAGTCTCCCTGCAGAGCATGGGGGCTGCTGGAGAAGCCCTGGGGAATCAATTTCTTCTAGTCTGAACAGGTTGCTGAAAGCAAATAAAGCTCTAAATTTCCCCTACTTTTTCATAACAGCAAGAAACTGGAAGAAACCTGAGTCAATCAATAGACATTTCCATTTAACCCACAGCAACCCTCTACCTGGCTTTGTACTAGATGCTGTTATTGTTGTAATAAGGATTGGTCATTTTAGTAATGATTGGTAACTAAGTCACACTAATTACAGCCAGTGAGTTCTGCATCCATGGGTTCAATTAACCATGGATCAAAAATAAGAGAAAAAGCCGGACACAGTGCTCACACCTATGATCCTAACTACTCAGAAGGTGGAGATGGGGACGATCAGGAAGGCCAGCCCAGACAGAAAAATCTCCAGATCACCTGATTCAACAGTTATAAAGCTGGGTGTGGTGACCCAGCTAAGATGGAAGCATAAATAGGAGAATAGTTATTCCATAACAACTAAAGCAAAACTATATAGAGAACATTTGAGGGCAAAAACTGCATCTGTAATAAACATGTACAGACTTCTTCCATCATTATTCTTCAAATAATATAGTAGCCAACTGCTTACACAGCATTTGCATTGTATTAGGCCTATAATGTACATGTGCTTTACAGGAAGTTATGCATGGATTCAATACAAATACTACATTGCTTTATAAGGGATTTGAGCATCTTCAGATTTCGGTATCTGAAGAAATTCTGAATCAATCTCCACAGAAACTGACAGAAAACCATATTTAAAATATCAGGATTTTGGGGGGGTTGTTTGTTTTGGCTTTTCAAAACAGGGTCTCACTATTACATCTCAGTCCAGCTTTGACCTGAGATCCTCCTGCGTCAGTCTGATAATGAGGAGATTACAGGTACGTGCCACCACAGCCAGCAAAACATCAGTTTTAACTACTAATATATCAATAGATTTAACTGACATAAACAAAAGTTCTTTAACAGCCACAATCATTTTCAAAATTATAAAAGGATTTGTCTGAATCCAAAGAGCCCGAGAATTACTGCATTAAAAGGAGGCTGATCTCTGGAGAACACAATGGGAATTACCTCCCTCGTTTCAGATTCCATATTTCTACTCATCTGTCCAAGGTACAGTCAGTTTGACAAAGGACACTCAATACGAGACAGACGTGCTAAGATAGTAAGGCTATTTCTTACATAAAACAAATATTCAGGTAAAAGCCAAATAAAGAATTTTAAGTTAATCTCATACATAACATTTCTTGATGTATCATCAACCAATCAATAAAAACGTTGGACTCGGGTGTCATTGTGGCAATGAGGAAGTCTTAAAGGTATCTGGTCCAGTTTCTTTCTCCAAAACAAGGCACACTACTGTTCAAAACCCTGTAGGCAACTTGAGAACTGCTGCAGTGCATGAGCCCTAAAACATACTATTAAGAGTTATTTCCATACAGTAATGATAATCCATCAAATCAATATGACTTGAAGTGGCACATATTCTCAAGGGCTACGCCTGCTACTGTAAACTATGGAAAGATAAAGCAAGCCCAAACTCTCCCTGTGAAAAAGATCAGTAGACATTGCTTGATTGTGTGGGTATAGGTAGTCCATCAAAGGATAAGAAAAAGACCCACTGATCATAACACTGTCCCACTAAAGAATACCAGGCTAGGATGGGAGGGTAATCTGGCTGCGACATCTGTCACCCCGTTGATCACCAGGGTTGATCTGTCTGGCTAACCTGATGTCCCTGTCTTCCCTCACCACTCCATGTGCTCCCCTCCCAAATTGTGCACTCAGTGCAAGAGGAAGGGCCAGGACTGTTCTTCAGTCCAGGGTGCCTGAGTAGCTGTGCTTCCCTACTAGAACCTCTCAACATGCTCTCAAGAACACTGGATTAGGCTGGGGTTCTTAACCTTCAGTCTGTGATTGTTTCTTAGGCTCTGGAAATGAATCTACGTTGATCACTCTGGATTCACTGGGGTCAATTTTGATAACCAATTTTGATCCTCATTTCCCATCACCAGCACCTATAATATGTTTCTTGGGGAGAAAACTAATTCAAATTTTTATAGAGAGATTTTGGTTTTCAATCAAGATGGAATACAGAGACCAGATATGCCCGCCTGGATAAAACAGCAATAAAACGGACAAAATGTATAATGGTTTTCAAGAACTTGGATATTGGGCAATGAAGAAAACTGGTAACTGAGAGCTGTGAAGCATACTAGGTGAGCTCTACAATTGTTCTAATTTATTAAGAGGAGTTTGCCCACAAAAAGGGGAAAACAGAATCCAAACAGAACACAACAGCTTCCCCACGTTGATGAGACAAGGCTGGGAGTGTGGGGAGGCACCAAAGCAACAAGGTTTGTAGGTCACATCACCCAGAAGAGAGATCTGCATAAAGAAAGAAAAACAAAGGTCTACAAGATGGTCTAACTCTCTAGTGAGTACTGCCCAACACTTGTTAAGAAATTACCAAAGGCCAGGGAAAAATGTCACCCAAAATGATTATGGGGAGGAAACTACCAGTGTTCACACAAGTCTGGGAATAGTATCCCTTACCCCCAACCAGAATGGAAAACTCCATTAGCCACAAGGGATCAGGGAGACTATTCAAAAGGCTTTTGCTTCACTAGTGGAATAAAATTAGCCCCAAACAAAGCTGCTCTAATTCTACCTAGTAACACTCAAAAACAAGACCTGAAACATTTTTAAAAAGAACCGGACACCAGTGGCTCTCGCCTGTAATCCTAGCTACTCAGGAGGCAGAGATCAGGAAGATCATGGTTCGAAGCCAACCCGGGCAAATAGTTTGTGAGACCCTATTTCAAAAAAAAACCCATCACGAAAAATGACTGGTAGAGTGGCTCAAAGTGTAGTGCCTAAGTTCAAGCCCCAGCACCACAAAAAGGAGAAGAAAAAAAAAAAAGTGGAATAATAAACCTGGCAAATAAAATTGTTCCCAATTTTACTACCTAACAGAACAAAGTTTAGGATATTTACTATAATAAAAAAAATCATTAAATACCCATTATGTCACAATGTCTAACATCCAATTAAAACTTAACGGGTACCAGGTACTGGTGGTTCACACCTGTAATCCTAGCTACTTAGGAGGATGAGACTGGGAGTAGTATGGTTCGAAGCCACCCCAGGCAAAAGTTCACAAGACCACATCTCAACAAATGGCTAGGCATGGCGGTATGCACCTGTCATACAAGCTACATGGCAAGGGGATAGGGAGCCTGAGATTGGGAGGATCAGGGTTCCAGGTCAACCCTGAAAAATGTTTCTAAGACCCCATCTCAAGAGAAAAAAAGTTGGGCATGGTGGTACTTGCCTGTCATCCCAGCTACAGTGGGAAGTGCAAAATAGGAGGATTGTGGTACAGTCTTGCCTGGGCAAAAAGTGAGACCCTATCTCACTTTTAAAATAATCAGAGCAAAAAGGGAAGGAGGCATGATTCAAGCAGTAGAGCATCTGCCAACCAAGCATGAGCCCTAAGTTCAAACCCCAGAATCACAGGGAAAAAAATAACAGGCACAGAACAAACTACAATCAGTAATGAGAAATTAAACGAAAAGAAAAAGACTCAAAATTGATACAGATGGTAAACAAAAATATTACGACATTTACTGTAACTATTCCACAGATTCAAAGAGTAAGAAGTAAGTAGAGACATGAAAATATGAAAGAACCAAATTGAACTGAAGATGAGAAGTAAAATGTCTGAGGCCAGTATGCAGGCTCATGCCTATGAGCCTCACTCCTCTGGTGACAAACATCAGGAAGATCACATCTGGAGGCCAGTGTGGGCAAAAAGTTAGCAAGACCCCATCTCTACCACTAAAAAGCTGGACATGGTAGCACATACCTGTCATTCCAGCTATGTGGGAAACATAAATAGAAGGATTTTGATCCAGGTCAGCCCATGCATAAAAGCGAGACCCTATTCAAAAAGTAACCAAAGCAAAAAGGGCTAACAGTGCGGCTCGAGTGGCAGAGTGACTGTGTAACA